TTTTGGAGAAACAAGGCTTCCGTTGTAGTTTGGGTTGCCTGCCAGCGTAAAAACGGCCTTTAATGATTAATTTTATGATTTAATCATTATTGAGTACGATACCTTGTATTCCTTGTGGCATTTTTGGCTAAAGACCGTGGGCTGTGATATTCTGAAATTTGATTCATTGCGATTCCAGACAGGGTAAATTCCTTCCCCAGTAAATCGACTTTGTTGTGTTATTTGTTAGTACTATGTCCTCTGCCCCAAATGGAGTAAATACTAGTATGTTCCTTAAACATTTCGAGGATAATTGTTCTGATTCCCCAAATAATGGTGCTTTCTATTTAGGCATTTGTTGATCGACTGGAGTTCAAAGTTTAAACTTAATTTGTACTTGTACTTCAAAAAACTTTCTAAAACACAATAACTCTAAATAACAAAAAGGGTGTGATTCAAAATTACTGTTTATATCAAAATTACTGACAAACAAAAAAACTGACGTATCTATCGTATTACAACCGTAAATTTTTGTATTTTAACAAATGAAAAGTAATTATTTAATCTGATTTTCTAGTACTTCATTGCAAACTAGTAGATATGTAGTTAGCCTATTTACATTCGATGTTGCAACGGTTACAACAAAAAAACAATCATCATTCAAACAGTACAAAGTTATTGTAAAACTTTTCCAAGCTTAGTTATTATTAGGGGAGAGCTAGAAAACGCCATTTGAGTTAGACGGAAGTGTACGTGAGTCATGGAACAGCAAATTAACCCCCAAATTTGAGGCGGACCTCTGGGTAATTCTGGCCGCCTAGACTTTTTCTGTTGATCTTGCAGTACAACTTGGCCGAAGAAGAAAAGTTTCCCGTAGGGTTGAGATTTTTCAGACGAAATTGAGCGTAGAGCCGAGAACAGCCAGAAAACTTGGCATAAAGTCCTCTTAATATCACGACTTCTGTTTCTTAAGGGCCGTTTCCAGTACGTTCTCCCCTTAGGCCCTCTCCGAGGAACATTACCGACCCAAATTAACCTCGTGATGTACCTTCCTATAAAGCTAATGAAAAAAACAAATAAAACGTTAGGCCCTTCAGGCTTTTTAGCCCTCTACGTGACTACCGAACCTTTGTTCCTTCTCCTTTTATTAGACATTATGGGCTTCCATTATTTCCATACTGCCTCTTTCTCCTCGTATATAAACAATAAGATAAAACACACCCGAGACAGTTTTAATAAAAAATATACCCGTTTATTGCTGTTATTTCAACTTTATTGAAACCACAACCTATATATTTTCTTAATCACATAAATTCGGCGAAGTACCACAAAATAAGTTACAAAAAAAATATCATACAATAAAGCGAGCTAAAATGATGTTCTTTCAAGTTGGCCTCTTAGGCTGAACAAAAATAAGATATCACCGTAAAAGATGCACAATACGCAATGCGTTACCTTTAGTCCAAAACCATGTTGCATGTAAAACAATAATTATTTGGAGATCGTGAGATGCGGTCTGGTGTGACGTAGATTTTATAAACATTTTCTTTATCGTGCCAACGTTTCGATCTTTCAATTAATTAAGATTTTTAGTTGAGATAAAAAAGACAGTGTAACGAGTGGGGCACGAGCCCATGACCTTCGGCTAGATACTCCGCTACTCTACCACTTGAGCTATCGTGACTTCGATCCACTCGGGCACTAACTTCCCATCTCAACGCCACATTTTGAATTTTTCCTCCTTTTTACCATTTTTCAAATGTCGTGTAATCTATTTGATTCTCAGTGACAAATGAAATAGTCACGGAGAGCTTTAGTGAAGATATCTTTCATTTTAACTTAGTAAATTAACTAGTTTTCGTGGTCCGCTTGACCAATTAATATCTTTCAATTAATTAAGGTTTTTAGTTGAGATAAAAAAGGCAGTGTCACGAGTGGGATTCGAACCCACGACCCCCAGAATCAAATAGATTACACGACATTTGAAAAATGGCAAAAAGGAGGGAAAATTCAAAAGGTGTAGTTGAGATGGGAAGTCAGTGTCCGAGTGGATCGAAGTCACGGTAGCTCAAGTGGTAGAGTAGCGGCGTATCTAGTCGAAGGTCGTGGGTTCGAATCTCACTCGTGACACCGACTTTTTTATCTCAACTAAAAACCTTAATTAATTGAAAAATATTAATTGGTCAAGCAGACCACGAACTCGTGAGTTTCAATCTTTACTGAGATCACCTTCTGGGCTCAAAATAAAACAAATAGTTGGACATGATAGTGCGCGCGCGACGTACGCTTAGATATGCTCACAATAACGACTAGTTTGTTTTTGCCAGGGATGTATCTGTCCACTTAGTTCTAAAACGTCTGTTTTGTGTCGGTTGTAAATGTTTTATCGCGTGTAAAACTCTGGATGGAGTTAAGGGAAAACTTTTATGTGCTAACGGGTACCCTTATGTTTAAAACATGTTGATAAATAGAAACAGAAGAAGCCTGGCAAATCCACTCAATTCTTTGAGAACACTTTTAACTTACTGCTCACTTAATCCTTCAGGCCAATTTTTTATCACTTATCAAATCATTTCACAAATATTTTACATATCTTAAAAACTGGCAAAAACTCTGATGTACACACTGTTACCTATGTGTCAGTATTTAGTAAATTTTTCTCGGCAGATAAAGACTTTAAATATGTATTAACAACTCTAATGCTTGATCATAAACTTCACCGGACAATGTAATATAGCCGATGATGCTTTCATTACCCGCCCCGAAAAGCTGAAAGCAAAGGGTATCGAGAGGTTTATTAAAGTTCTAATTAGGCGGAAGGGAAAAAATTAATTACACCTTTTCTCCAGGTCGAAAGTTTAATATAAAGTTTGCAGGGGCGGGGGGAGTGACGGTTTAAGCGACGCTTGCCGGGCCGTTATTTTCATATTCTCGTCTAGGAGAGATTTAAATGATTCCTTTCACTCGGGCTATTAAATCATTTAAAAATAACATAAATTACACAAATACTTCTAGATATTAAATTTAGAAAAGCTACGCTTTTTATATATACAAACAATGTGGGAGGCTGATGTGCCGACTAGAAACTGAGGTCATCGCCGGCCCTTTAGTTGTTTTCCTTCTTGTTCTGGTCTAATTATTCCTCGGAGAGGAGTAAAACAACCCTTCCATTTCACGCTTATAAATTACATTCATCCCAATAAATTAACATAAACATAACACTAGACATATACATAGAAGTCTTCACTCCCCCAGAGTACTCGATATTCCTCAGGGCGGGGTTGAACCCACTTCATTCTCGCTAATAACTACTTTTACTCCTTAGACGTCACACACTCACCCCAGAGCACTCTATATCCCTCCGGGCGGGATTAAACAGCCCCATCTTTTCACGCTAATAAATTATTTTTATGCCAACAAATTAACATGAACACAACAATCGATACAAACATAGAAATCTGGTCACATTCGCTCCTCCATAGTACTCGATATTCCTCGGGTTCCTAATGCTAATTTTTGAATGTTCAGTGAATCTTCTATTTGTATCGTCATTTTTTAAAAACCTTATTGTAACATATGTTACATTTTGGTTAGGAATTTATGTCATATGACAGCCCCAATTTTGTGTAACATAGACAATGTTCAACAAGTTTCAGTTAATAGATAGTTAATAAATGTAATCAGTAGATATGAAATAAATATAAATAAATAGCAAGTGGAAAGATTTGTGAAAATAAATATAATATAATAAGGTAGTAATAAATGTAGTATATATATAGTAAGTATAATAAGGGGTCCAGTGTTGTACATAATTTATACTGCGGATTACTCACATTCATCAATGCTTAAACTGGCACATTTTGCAGTCGTGCGTTGTCAAAGGGCGAAGCAGACAGCGTTAAGGAGGCTCCAGTCATTTGATAACGAAGTGAAACGATGGAGTGAGAAATGGGGAGTTCAACTGAACCCAAAAAAGTCCGAATTGATCTGTTTCACTCACTAAACAACGAGATACAGTCAAATACCTAATGAGCTTAGATACAAGACTGGTGTGGGACCAACATATTAGACAAAAATAAACAGCACTTACGGTACCGAATTAGAAAGTTGCACTACCTCTTAAATTCTAAGTTTACTTAGATAATGTTTAGATGCTTAGCTCCAAAAAACGTAATGTACTTCTGTGCCCAAAACACCATGTCTTTTTATTTCCCCATTAAGGTTTAAGTAAATTTCAATTTTCGTGCAATTTGTTTTTCATGTTTTTAATTGTTGTTTTTCTATATGATAATAAAACAGGCCCTGAAGATGACAGTATAAAAACTGTCGAAAGCTCGGCGAAAACCGAAAGGAAGTTTTTCTCTGTGTTGACCTCTTCCGTAGATCCTCCGAAAAAACTTCATGTTTCCAGCAGGTCGATAATCTAGCTCATCGATAAATTAGCTTGTTTAACCAGAGAATAAGAAGGACAGGTCCATCATGTGTTTATTTTACTTTTACAGTTTGTTACCTTTGAAGTATTCTCTAGTAAATTTGTTTCGAATGAAAGAAATGGGAAAGAGGGAAAGAAGTCGGAACGTTCACTTAAAAATCCAGCTCTTGTACAGTAAAGAAGCTATTCTGTTAGGTTTAAGCAAGTGAATGAAATTTATCACTAAGGATAAAAGGGAGGCGCATCGTGTTTTATTTTTCAGGATTTTTTTAAAGAAACTGTTGTAGTTTCTTGTAGGCAATCCTAACCAATGCTTATGCGAGTAATCCTCTTTCGGGTGAGTGGTTATCCAGTTCTGTGAGGGCCTTAATGTCCCACGGGACTGTAATTCTTTGTGTGAGACAAGGCAAATTGTCCAAAGCACCCCCAGATTCTGAATTGGGCCCCCACGCCTACATCTATTCCACTGACTCGCAAAGCCTACTAATCACTTAGCGACGGCTCCACAAAAATATATTATCAACCTAATTCTTATTTTCATGACGTTCAGTAGCCAAATGACACTTTAATCATTTTCTTTATGTTGCAGAAGATGGTGATCTCGAAAAAAGCTGTCTAGGAAAAAACGAAAGGAATGAAGGGGCTCATCGTCTGGGCTCTATTCCTCGCCGCCTCGATACCATGGCTTGGGGCGAGGACAGTCCCGGAAAGCAAATACGTCTGGAAAACAGGTTCAGATCATTTTCAAGAATATCACTTAACTTGCCAACTGTTAATGACTTATTTTGCAGGTAAATGGGAGTCGTGTTATGCTGCGAACGGCTGCGGAGAAGGTATACGGGAGAGAAAGGTCTGGTGTTCCGATCGGACCACCAGCAGTATCGCTGTTGAATTTTGTTGTAAAAAAAGTGAAGAACCTGAAAGGACAAAACCATGTTTCGCCGCCTGCCGACACCACAGAGGTAATATCCAAAAGGAAAAACCTGGAAAAATATTGCACAATTACGATTTCCACTATGTTATACATGATGGAAATTGTTTAAACAGCTAATTAAATTATTACTGATATAAGATCAATTTTGCATATATATGTACACACACTCGTGTACAGAATCATTTGCATCGTTTTTTGGCATTCCGGGGTCAGAATTTTGTCTTAACGTCGTACACAAAGACTACAGTCTTCCCACAGGAGGATCTGCAAGACCGTACATAAACCCCGAACCTATACTTGGGATAACAAAAACAAATATAGAATCCTCCATCTCAGAATGGATCCAAACAAAATAAAAGGAGAAGTGGATAAACTCTAGCTGCGCTAGACATAGAAAACTTATGATGAAACAATCCTCACCAAGACTGGCAAAATCATTGCTGCAATTGGAGAGGGCCAAACTCAGATAAGTAATAGGACTACTAGCCCGACACTGGCATCTGAGAAAACATCTACTCAACATGGGTATATACAACGATGATCCCATTTCCAAATTATGTAATGAGGAGGAGGAAACAGCTACCATCTTCGAATGCGAAGCAACAGCTCAATGGAGATCAAATTGCAGCAGTGATAGTCAATGACCTGATACTTCTAAAAAGAAAGATTGAGTCTATTGCACTGAAATAAGGAACTAGGAAGGTACAATAAGCCAAAAGGCTGCAGTGCTTAGGGAGCACAAACCCCGCTTCCTAGTTTCCTTTTTTTACCATACCATACCATACACCAAAGACTTCAGGGGTCAACATGAAATGATCTATTTCAGCCCCCAGTTTTTAAACCGATATACTCAAGTAAATATTCTTCCATCACCCTTACACATATTATTTAAGCTAATTGAGGGTTGATGGTGTACTCATTATAACACCTCTCACTACACATTCACTAATATATACCAAAAATAACGCAAAACAAGATATCTATCACTGATATATACAGTACCAGCATGTTCCCTCCAAAAATCGAAATAGGGGGCCAAAATACTCGCTTCATGCACAAGTACAACTTTCGTAGTGGGATTCCTACACGCTCTCTATATGTAGCCAATAAAGCATCCTTTATTAAGTGGGACACATTGAGCATCCTACAAAGTGATTCTACTTCGAATGGCATATTCTTAATCGACCTTGATACCTTGATACTCGATATTACGTCATCGACCTTTTCACTTACTCCCCCAGACGCACGTTTATATACATACACTCATACATTTTATATATATAGTACAATGTATATTCCCTTCAATAAATACAACATTTACAACTTGGAAAAAAGGATCTTCGGTGACAACAGAACGAAAATTCTTTAAGGTTTTGACGATCTTTCGACGATCATCAGGGATTTAACTCGGTGAATATTGAAATATATCTTGAGAAAAAGAAACTGCATTATAAGATTATTTAAAATTAGGTGAAGCTCAGTATCTCGGTTAAAATATACATATAAGTATATGCCTCTTTTTTAAATTAATTTTTTCAGGTACATTTTAATATCACAGTTAAAATTAATTAAGCTTTTTTTTTAAAGTGTACTATATATAGATAAATTAAAGTGCTAACTTCTACCACAAGGAAGAGACATGAGGCTTCGGTGGCTTTCCCGTTACTGAGCTTCACCTAATTTTAAATAATCTTATTATAAATGCAGTTTCTATTTCTCAAGATATATTTCAACACGCAACGAGTTAAAGCCCTAATGATGACGATATAATCGTCGAAAGCTCGGCAAAAATATAAAGAATTGTCGTTCTGTTGTGACCTCACCGAAGATCCTTTTTTTCCAAATTGTTCAACAGCAGGTCGATCCATCATCTTATCTACGATATTTATATTCTAACGTTGCGGAAACACCCCCTTTCCCTTAAAAGTCGAAACAGTGTCAACAACTCTCATGCCCAAGGACTACCGCCTTTATATCAGGTACCATGCCTACTCGCTCCCTGTAAGGGGACAATGCTTGGCACCCCTCGACCGTGACACACTGAGCAATCTTTCTCTACAAGAAAGACATCTGCGCAGGATTTGCCCAAAAAGCAGCCCCTATAAATTTAATTAAAAAGTTTTGAAGCAAAAGTGTACTGATTATGTTTTAATTATTAAGTAACGACAGCTCCAGTCTTACTTTAGGTGGAATATCAAAGTTGACTGTTCAAGAAATGTTACCGGCAGCTAAGCGCTTATCCGTATACTAATTTTTCAAGAGTTCAATAAATTTTTTGCTGAAAGAAGTAAAACATAGATTATCGTTAATACGTTTTTATGAATTGCATTTATCTAGTTTGTAACAACAATTATATATTATATATTTGTCTAAATGTATATAGTAAAAATACTGAACACTTTAAAAAATGTATTAAAATAAGTTATATTTTTTCGTTTAAGTAAAAACAGTAGTATTTTAAAATAGAGTAAAAAATTATTATGCCTAATGTAAAAAGACATTTAAAAATAATCTACGTGTATATATAAAAATTAGTTCTCAAAAAGAAAGCATATTGAAAATCATCTGTCATGCACACAGTGTTTAATGTTAATATTCATTGCAGACCATTTGGAATGGAGGATGGGTGAATGGGGCCCATGCTCGACCAGTGACAATGAAGTGGGCGGAACTGAAACTGGAATCATGAAGAGAAATGTAACTTGCATCCTAACGTCACACGACCGCAACATGCAGGTAAGAGAAGCCGAACACAATAATCGTATGTCACTGAACTAATGGCTATCCTGCCGAATATATTGCGTTTTAGGACTAGTCCCCTGTACGAGAATTAATGCGGGATTAGATTTGAACTAATGTAACAGTTATGACGTAAATCAAACCGACACAATTACGATTCTGAGAGTGCATACCTAAAATGTCCGGATTGCAATGGGACATTTCTATGCAAAAAGAACAAATAGGTGTATTTAAATAATTGTTTATTTTAATATATAAATGTATATTATATATACCTAAGTTCAATTATTTTATTCAATCGATCCATTTATACAAGTTTTTACAAAGCTAATTTTCAGTTGTGTATCTAATGGCACTCCAGTTTGTTGGGTCCTAGCCCTCACTAAATAAGGGTAACCGGAAAAGTTCGTGCGGTTTTTCATTTGTTATTGTTTCATTACTGTTAACCATCCATATTTACTTAGTGATCATAATTGACCATATTAATTATTCCAATTAGTTATTTTTTATGTAAGGTTTTTTGGTTGGGATGAAAAATTAGTGCTACGAGCGGGATTCGAACCCTCAAACTTCGGCTCAATACAATGTCAGAGCACCGGCGTAGACATTGAGACAAATTTCTCATCTAAACCAAAAGCCTTAGTGGAACTGTTAATCATATTATTTACATAGAAAGATATTTACATCTCGTAACACTAAGAAAATAATGCACCATTTCAGAAAGAAAATGTCTTGAACAGTTCAGTTATAAATTATAAAGTATTTTCTTTCTCATGGTTTCAAAAACGATAATTAGTGCATGCTTATTGTATGAATTTAATCTTGGTACTAGAATGGCCGAAACAACTAGTAAAATCTGGACTGTGTTCATTGAAGAAACAATGTCCGCCCACTGCCCAAAAGGGGTTCAAAGAGTACTGGTAATGAGAGGATTGAAGATGAACCGCAGTTTGTTGACCTTTTGTATTGAATGTCTGCAAACTGAAGTAAGCTATAAAGCTTGATTCTAGTCAAACATGTCGATGAAACTATTCGCTCTAACTAACATCGATTTTGGAAGACGTAGAAAGTGAGCAATGGATTCCTCATAAATAGATGACGATAACAAGCTTTAGGCGCCAAACCCTGTCGTTTATTTGCTTTGACGGCGGAAAGTACAGACTTTTTTTATCGGATTGCCACATGCGACGAAAAATGGATCATTACAGCAACACCACCAGGTCGTCACCAAATGACCTGTCCCAAAATCGCGGAAACCGAATATTTACTAACAAACGGTGAGGCTTGTGTTTGGTAGAGTAGAGCAGTCACTCATTCTGAAAGAACGTCTCTAGTTTTATTAACTGCTGAGCATGTTTGTACCAATGTTCGCACTGTTTCTTTATGGGTAGCAAATACTGATATGTCATCTATATCTTGGTAAAAATTGTAGCCAGAACAGATTCTTGAGATGCACCTGCTTTTAAATTCTATTAGTTAAATGTGCTGGAGATGCAAAATTTCAAATTTCGTCACTTTACAAGAACTTAGGGATATTTTACGATCACTACTCCGATACTAAACCACCAGAGTTCAAAGTCAAGCTGGATTAATATACTTTTGAAGTCTTTAGAATACCACCTTGGTGTCACAAAAAAATGAATGTTTCATTTTCAGAAGTTGATGGTGATAGACGATGATAACTGTCTGATTGTCGGCAAACGACCAGACTCTGTGAGGATTTGTGTCATGCCGACGAGGCAGGAGTGCGTTCTTACCGAATGGAGCGAGTGGACGCCGTGCTGTGATTCGACGCGGCATCGAACGAGGAGTGTAGTCGTTGCTCCGCATTACGGGGCCCAACCATGCCCGCAGGTGAGTTCTTAAAAAGATTCTGCTCGATTGATGCTATATAAACCGATTTTCAGTTGAGCGAATGGAAATCCTGTGATATCGAAGACTCGGAATGCGATAAAAGTTCGGGAGGGACAAGGTTGAGGGTAGAAAAATGGGGTGAATGCGTTGTGAACGGTGGTACTCTGTGGGACGGCGATAGCAGAGGACAAGCTGACAATTATTACAAGCATTGGCCTCAAGTCGGTACACAGAGGAGGACGGTCACGTGCCTAAATTCGGCAGGCGTTTCTCTCGACCCAAAGTAAGAAACTTGGTTGTTGTTGTTCTTTTAATTTAATTTTAATGATTTGATTTGTAGGGAATGTTTTAACGAGAGAAGTGAAATCGGATTTCCCATGAGAGAACGGGCTTGCATAATTTCACAAGACTGCGCAGTCAGCAAATGGTCCGACTGGACTGTCATACAAGAAGGATGCGTAGATCCGAACGGAGTGGTACTATTCATTAAACATTGATATTCCAATCGGCTTTGTAATTTAATCATATCTGCTTTTTTCAGGAATGGGCAGAAATAACAGAAAGAAAGCGTGAAGTGCTTCGGCTACATGAAGGTCAAGGGCAAGGATGTCCTCACCTCACAGAAACAAAGTCTACAACTGCAAACCTTCCGCTTTGTTCTTTGAAGTACCATTGGGTCACATCCCATTGGAGCTCGTGTACAATGCCCGGAGTAAATGGAAAAGTGGTATGCGGGGGAGGTCTTCAGCGGCGCAATGTGACTTGTGTCAAGGCGGATGGAGGGCAACCTCTGGCCCCCAAATATTGTCGGAATCTGCAACACCCACTCACCGTACAGAGGTAAAGATATCAATTACACATTCAAATAAATATATTACATCTTATGCTGGCTTTAGATGTGAAGTCGCTTGCCCGAGGGACTGTGAAGTAAGTCAATGGGGCTCATGGGGGCCGTGCAAACCCCATCCGGATATTTGCACTACTTCAACTAATCAAGAACAGCCCAGATTTTTTCCCAATAGAGGTATAACTCTTGCCTATAACTTATTAAGATGACAAAGCAATTAATATCGTAACACCTTTAACAGGAGAAAGAAAACGAACTAGAACCGTCCTTGTGGCACCGAGCGATTTAGGCCTAGGCTGCCCCAGTCTGGAGGAAGTCCAACCTTGTGATATACCCCGCTGTTACATTTGGCAAACAAGCCCTTGGTCAAGCTGTTACCTCAATTCACACCAATCGAAATGCGGTTCAGGAAGGAGAAAGAGGAATGTCAAATGCATCACTCATGCAGGAGTAAGAAGATTTTGTTCCTTGTTGAACTCTATAAAAGCGTTAATGTTGAAAATTAGATTGACTAATTATAGTTAAAGAGGGGCGTCGGTGGCCTCAACTATTTAGTCGTTGACACGGCGTTCGAACCAAACATACAAATGGGATGTTTTTTCAAAAACACCGGCACCCCGAGAGTTCAAATAACCTCGTAGTTGAAATACCCGCATTAAAAAAAAAATTATAGTAAAAAATGATTTTGTACAGAAATTAATACAAAAAATCATTTGGTCATAACCGACGACTTTGGTCTACCTATCGTCGCCGGTTTGGTATATCTTCAATAAGAGAAAAGGAATAGCAGATTCACCACGGAAGACAGAACAAACCCGTGAGAATAGGTAGACCAAAGGATCGGTAACGACCAACCACCACCGCCATTCAGACACAGCAATAAAAAGAAAATCAAAACTATCTTTTCTGTGAAAATCGTATATTTCCGTTTATAAAAATTACATCAAAACATTTGCGATTATCTGCTTTTGTCTTGCAGGAGCCTGTACCAGATAGCTTCTGCTCCGAACCTATGCCAGAGGCAGAAGAGCCATGCCTCCTCCCTTGCCCTTATGACTGTGTAGTTTCAGCTTGGTCATCTTGGACATCATGTTCCCAACCTTGCTCTACATCGAATAACATGGGTACAAAATCAAGAAATAGAACCATAATCGCTCCCCCTGGCAAAGGTATTTTGAATATTATTGACCAACAGCGCAAATAATTTCTTCTGGTGTAATCTTCCATTTATTTTAATAGCCGGTCATCCGTGCCCCAACCCAGACGAGTTTATGCAAATTAAAGGATGCAACACTCATGGCTGCCATGGATACAGCTGGATGACGCTTCCATGGCAAGAATGTAATGCCACTTGTGATTCAGAAGGTTATCAGGTCAGGGAAATCTGGTGTGCAGAAAACCAAGAAAGAGTCTCTGATGACAGGTAAATCTATTTAAAAAATAAAAATAAAAATTGAATCCAGAGAAATAAATTAGCAAATTGTAGATGTTCAACATTGAAGAAGCCAACCGATACCAGGACATGTACTATAGAGTGCCCAACCGAATGTCAAGTCACCCCTTGGTCAGACTGGTCTGAGTGTGATTCGCATATATGCTATCCAAGTAATTACTGCATGCAATTTATTTTAATTATTGTTTATTTAAAGATCCTGAAATGCGGTCTGGTGTGATGTAGGTTTTAGAAAAACATTTTGTTTATCGTGCCAACGTTTCGATCTTTATTGAGATCATCTTCAGGGCGTGTGATTTATAAATATTGTTTAAATTATACAAATAGACATAACGCATAAAGATGAATTTATAAAATGATGTACACAGTATAGAAAGTTTTAGGTTTAATCAAAGTATTTGTGCTCACTCAAAGTGTATATTTTCTGTGTAGTCGTGTCAATGTTGTATGCCGTGTTTGTGACATTTTATTGTTTTTTGTTATACTTGATTTCGAAAGAGTGGGGAAGGAGATAGGGAAAAAATTGGTTTTTCTATGAAAAGTCGGCTTCTTTGAGGTGAAAGGGACCGTCAATGGAAAATAAAAATAATAAAAAATCGTACAAGCCTGGTTAGCCATTTTGGATTATTATGGAAAGGAGAGACAAACTTTTGGAAATTTAGACTATGTAGAATTGTTTATGTGTGGAGTATTATATGTTTTTTATTGATATTGGATTTGATTTATTATTATGATATATTAGCATAGCTGAGGCTGAGTTTATTAGCTGAGTTTACATGTGTCTATTCTGTAATTGCAGTGACACCTGACTGCATCTCACGATCTTTAAATAATCAGCAATTGACGGTCACTAAATATTCCTCATTTAATTATTGTGACGAAAAATTATTAACACATATTTTTAATGATTTTAGATGGATCAAGGGGAATTTTATCAAGACAATCTAGATACCGAGTAGTTCTAAGAGGGGAAAACTGTGGTCCATTGACCGAAACAAGAAATTGTGAAATTCGTTCTTCACCATGTCCTAAATATAGCTGGGCTACTGGAAACTGGTCTGACTGTCAGTTGGCTGAAGGAGTAATTTGTGGCCATGGTCTTCGTACAAGAGGTACATATCAACGATTTTTTCTCTCCAAATTCATACATAAAATGAATATGTTTTAGATCTTTGGTGTACAATGAGTGATACTGACAAAAGAGTCGAACTCAGATATTGCTTGGCTGGAGAAGAACCGATTCCTATAAGTGTAGAAAGGTGCCATGCCGACTGTCACACGCCCTGCCAGTTGACAGAATGGAGCCAGTGGACAGCCTGCAAACAACCATGTAGTGGAGAAAAGACCAGAAAACGAGAGCTGATAGGTTGGATAATAAATATTTGCTCATACTATCCCATTACTCATTATAATTTTAAACAGGATTATCATCTCAGCATAAAGCTTGCAAAGAAATGAAGTTAATGGAAACAATGGACTGTCCATGTACTGTCTATTACAACTTGCCTTTGTCTGATTGGTCATCATGCCTCACCAATGAAAGCACACCTTGTGGAACTGGAACTCGATATAGAGCAATGGGTTGTTTCAATGAGAAAAATCACCAACTTGTTGATCCAAGGTCTGTTGTGCATCATTATAGTTAAACATTTGTCTTATTGAAAGTTGACCTTTGTCTTTATTTCATGTGTTATTCTTACAGTCTTTGTGGAGGAAGTAATGGCTTAAAAGAAGAACCCTGCTTTATTTCATGTCCTATCGACTGCATTCTTGGTGAGTGGACATCATGGGGAGATTGCAGCTCCCAGTGTGGGCCTGGGATGCAGAATAGGACAAGAAAGGTAAAAGTATAAAAATCAAAAAGCAAAAAATCAAACATATTTCCGTTTATAGATCTTACGAAAAGAATCTCATGGTGGCCGACCTTGCGGAAATGAAGTCGAAACTAAAGTGTGCAATACACAATGTGATATTTATGAGTGGCAAGCAGGTGGATGGAGTGAATGTAGGCTGTTACCGTCAGACAGGCCAAAAGACTGCGGCGCTGGTGATCAATACCGACAAGTCAGGTAATATTAATAAACCAAGAATTCCTGTAAACAATTCTAAAACAATGGTGTTTTAGGTGTGTTGACAAAAGATCGTTAATAGAAGTAGAAGAAGAAATGTGTGACTGGGCTACGCAACCACTGAATATGAAGCCTTGTCACATCGCATGTCCAGGAGATTGTGTGTTAAGCCCTTGGTCAGAATGGTCTCTTTGTCCTAAAGTATGTTTAAACCCTTTATTATTATTACATGTTTCAATTATACTTTTTTTTTACTATTGTTTTATATAGGATTGTTCTGGCAATACACAGCAGCAAAGAACAAGATCTTTACTCAGAGCAGCAGCCAATAGTGGAGCGGAATGCCCGCGATCTATTGAGACACAAGCATGCCAATTAAATATGACTTGCTTCACATACAAGTGGGCAGTGACAAACTACACATCTTGCCTACCACTTGGAGGAAGTCCATGTGGTGAAGGATTGGTTACCAGGACAATCTACTGCCAGAGAAGTGATGGAAGACCAGTTGCAGACAGGTATGTTTTTAATTAAAAGCCAAAACATCATTACAGATTAATCAGCACAATTGTTTATGCAACTATGCGATTTTCTATACAAGTAAAAATTGGAGAATTATTGGTGGACATTAAACACACTTTAACTCAGGTTTAACACGGTCCATATCTATATTTAATCTTATAAATTTACTAGCTTTATAACCCGGCGTTGCCCAGGGAGATAGTAAAAAGTTTTCCTTTTCGTTTTGTGAATCTCATTATTTGTTATATACCCATTTTATAGTTCCTAAATCCGAAAGTTTCGTCGAAATCGGTTCAGTAAGTTTCGTATTAACACACATTCACTTGTACATATATACAGGGTGTTCACACGAATCTAATAATTTACTGAATAAGTTGATTTGTGAGATTTCCCAGTGATGTATGCGTAGTTATATATCATTTTTGTCTGCCTACCCTCATGTCGTCTGTCAGACGTGCTTTGACATTTTGCCAATTGCAGTGTTAAGTCTGTCTAGAACAAGCAGACAAAACTGACCAGTAAAGATCAAAATACTAAAGGGATACTAATAATTTTTAGTTAGAACAAATATATCTATGCAGGGTGTTCGGCTACTCGGGTGCAAACTTTGCCAGTAGATTCTACATTCAAAATGGAACCACAAAGTCCTAATTAACTATGGTCAGAATGTCAACAGTTTCGGAGATATTCCCCTTTTTCTGATTTTTTAAGATTTCAATACCATACTTCAAATAAGCAAGATAACTCAAAAACTGGAAGGTTTTGGACAACTCCGTTGATACCATTGAAAATTACGTTAAATTTCCAATAAGATGTGATTAATACTAAGCTTGTAAACGTTGGTGAAAACTCAACTCGCAGAACACAAATTCACCTTTCACAATTTCACACAGATCCAATAGGACAACACAAGAATAGCACTTTACTTGATGTGAGTATGAAATACTTGGTTCAAAATTTATATTTACGTCTGTATTGTATTTTTTCCAATCAACGTATGTTTTGTAATTACTGAAGTTGACCCAAATAAAATCGAAACTGATGCAAAAAAAATTTAAAAAGGTGTTTTTCTAAAGTACTTCATTTTTGACCTCTCCTCACGACTTCAACAAATTAATGAACAACCGGTCACTAAGAAACACACACTTATTCAGTAAATTAATAAATTTTTACTTTACCTACAGTTAATTATAGAACCACCATTAATGTTAATTTTATTGATATTTTTCTTAGTAAAATTTCTATTTCTAATTTCTATTTCTTTTCCTTTTTTTTTCTTTTTTTAATAATAATAAATCTTTATTTGCAAGGGTACATTATGTTCTACCAAATCTTTATCCTTATGATTATTTAGAGATCATGAGATGCAGTCTGGTGTGATGTATATTTAGAAAAACATTTTCTTTGTTGTGCCAACGTTTCGATCTTTACTGAGATCATCTTCAGGGCCTTTTTTTTTTTTTTACCCATCCACCTCCCCGCCGTACCTAAGGGAGACCCCATACCAGCGGACCACGGCCACTAAACTAATTCAAATGAGATGCAAGTTTAGGAGATCTTATTGTGCTTAACGTCTTCCTTCGACCTTGCCCTGAAAGGGAAGACCCAAGGAAGAAGGGAAATATTTTTCTTATTATTAATTTATCTAATCTAATAGGTCTCCTCCTTNGTTTGTAAATCCCAGGCCCTGAAGATGATCTCAATAAAGATCGAAACGTTGGCACGATAAAGAAAATGTTTTTCTGAAACCTACATCACACCAGACCGTGTCTCACGATTTCTAAATAAATATCGATTAACGGTCACTAATCACCACATAGAATAATCAACAATTACAACTCAACACTAACACTATCCACTATTACTAATAATACTACATCAAATCTATCAAATACAGACAAACCAACATACATTTCCATGCCATTCGTTCACGGCCTATCACACAAATTAAAAACATTTCTTTATTCTGATAACTTTAAAATAGCCTTCAAATACTATAAAATTATTCAACCCTTTTTTCCACAAATAAAGATCGCACACTGTAAAAAACAAGACTGATTTAATTTACAAAATCAACGATATAAATTGTCCGGCAACTTCCATCGGAAGTACATCCCACTGTCTGAATAAGAGGGTAAAATAAACATATTTACGATTGCAAAAAACCTGCACTGACTACCCACCATTTTAAACACCAACAAATTTTCGATTTCAACAATCAAAAATTATTAAGCACAGAACAAAAAAACCAAAAACGTGACTTTTTAGAAATGGTTTGCGTCAACAGAGATAAACACAACATCAATTACAGGACAGACATATGTAAACTCAGCCGCAGCTACGCTAATATCATAAATCAAATTCGATATCAATACAACACAAAATATATAATGCAAGATATAAAACAATCATTACACTCCACACATCAAATAATTTCTGCATAGTCTAAATCCCAAACAATTTATCTTTCCTTTCCCTAATAATCCAACCTATAGTAAACATGAAAAATTAACTAAGCCCGAAGGACAAAACATTTTCCCGTCGTCAGCCTCTTTCACCTCAAAGAAGCCGACTCCTCATACAAAAATGAATTTCTATCCCTACTTCCTTCCCCACTCCTTCAAAATCAAACATAAACAAAAAAACAAGTCACTGGTGTAATATTAAAAACCCTGTTAACCACTCAATTGCGTGAAAGTATTTATTTGCGAAAGTGGTTGTGTATATAGACGAGGTCTGTACGGAATATCGAGTACCCGGATATGGCCTTATAACTGCAGAAATATTTAAAAAATTGAAAAAGGGGTATGTTAATGCTGCAATCATACTAAAATATGTTCCTAGCATCTGGAAATCCACAGAAATCATTATGATATAAATGAGGTCAAATCTTTTAGGTCAAAATTGCTACTTCCGACAGTCTCTAAGCTTTTTGAAAAGTTATTACTGAAAAGAATAAAACCCATTGTACAAAACAAGAAAATTATCCCAAACCATTTTCAAATCTGCTCGAAACAGTCAACAGCAGACCAAATTCAACAAGTGATAGATGTAATTGAGAACTCTCATGATCTTCCTTGATGTTTCACAAGGGAGCATGCTAGGTCCAATATACTTGCTATTCAGCAGTGATTCAACGAAAATGGATGGTGCCAAAATTACAATGTTTGCATAGGAAAACTGATATCTCATAGGGATGTCATACAAAAATCACGCCATCCACGGTCTGGTCCATGCCACAGCAGATTATTAAGAGCATAACAATAAACACAGAAATGCTACAAAAGCGGTAAGTAGATATCACTTTTTAACTAAAAGACATTCAGCAAAAGACCAAATTCACCATTCATGGGTAATGGATGTAAAAAAAATTACTCAAAGAAAAAGGAATTTGTTCTGCTATCTTCCTTGATGTCCACAAGCTTTTGACAAGGTCTAGCTTGAAGATTTCATCAGTAAGCTAAAAGGAATACCAAAGCAGTATGTAGATATCATCACTTCCTATATATTGTAACTCACAGGCATTTTAGAGTCAAACAAGAAGATCAATATTTAGAATTAAAAACAATAAATACAAGTGTACACAGTAGCATATTAGGTCCAATACTTTACTTCTGATACACCAGTGATTTTTTAAAAATAGATGGAGTAAAAAAATACAACGTTTGCAAATGACACAACGGTGTGTTAGTAGGACCAACCATCAACTATTCACCCAAAATCATTCAAAAGGCTTGTAACATGATTAATGAATGGACAAGAAAGTGAAGAATCATGCTCAATCAGCATAAATCTGTGCATATAAATTTTACAAACATTTTGGACATCTCTCAATATCGATGGAGCTATTACTATACAATACAGCTAAATATCTAGAAATAACCTTAGATGCCAGAAGTAGTTTTAAGGTTGAGAGACAGAATTGAGAGGACACAGCTCCAAACTAAATATACAAACATGTGCTAAAGCCTGAACACATGATAAAAAAAAAAGGACAGAAATAGGTTTAACGTATAGACAAAAATTTGGGATTGATAGGACAAAGATCCAAACTAAATATACAAAATAAAATATACAAATAAGTGCTAAAGCCTGAACACATGAAAAAAGGACAGAAATAGGTTTAAGATAGAGACAACTATTTAGAATTGATAGGACACAGCTCCAAGTTAAATATACAAAATATAATATTATAAAAACAAGTCGTAAAAAGCCTATAGGACATAAGTTATTCAACTATGATGTTCCAAACACATCAATACCAAAATGACTAACACATCAATACTCCAAAATAAAATCTTAGATAACATGGTCAATACACCTTGATATATGTACTTATAAAAGCATCTTGAGATCCCTGTGGTCAAAGTGGAGATACAAAGATTTGCTGGCAAACACCATTCTCGCTTCAGTCCGCATGAGAATGTGGAAGCAACTAAACGCCTACACAATTGAAACTTAATAGGTTGAAAAGAACTAAGCCTTATGTACTAGTGTAGTTAATAATTTTGTGAATAGTGAAGTGTAAATCTTACTGTACTTTGGTTTCTAATTGTATATATTTCATTGTAAAATAAATGGTTGATCTAATAATACCAATTTTTAACAATGAGCTGGGTTATCGACCTGCTGGAAACATTAAGTTTTTTCGGAGGATCTACGGAAGTTGACCTCTTCCGTAGATCCTCCGAAAAAATACCAATTTTCTTAAATAAAAGTAAATAAAATTAACTCTAAATTTTATTTAAAAGCTTATTCATAATTCATGCAGGTTAGGTCAGGTTAATTAAAATTACAAAAGCTTAAATCACTTGATATATTTTTCTACAAAATGCAATAGCAATTTTTAAAATATTGTATATATATACATGTAAAAAAAAAGGTAAATAACTGTACAAAATAATATATACAAATAAGATAATGCCACCGAGTGACAAATGAAAACTCTTTAAAATTCCGGTAATGCATGATGTCTCATGTTAAACAAGATACAGCAAAAACAACAGGAAAAAACTTTAGGAAAATAGAAAGATATCCAAAAATATATTATCCATTAGAGGAATCAGATAAGCTAAGGGAAGAAAAAAAATTAAATTTGAGATCGTTGGCAGTGCTTTATCTGAGTGTGACTCCCTTTCCTGAAAAAGGAGAGAACGATTCCTTCTCTTCGCCAGCATCTTTTACAACCGGCTTGACATTCCGCATAAAAGTTAATGTCCCAATCTGCCAGTCGTAGTCTGGAACGCCCCTCGGGATCGGTTTCTTGATGACCGACTGGTCGCTGTCGCTGTTTTTCTTGCGCTTGCCATCCAGCCTGTAGCCTTCGCCTCCGAACATGACAAAGCTGCTGCTTTCCACTGCGAGTTCCTCCTCTGCCTCCATCGGCTCGGTCTGCGCCTTCTCCGACACCGGCTCCTTGTATCCGAGCGGAGCCGCAAACTCGACATTCATGTCGCATTCTATAATCGTCACCGCGTCGCCGGGTTTCGTCTCGAGTACGGACAACTCATAATCCCTCTGATTGTATTTGATGTTGATTATATCCCCGGTCGTGAGGCAGGCGAAGTTCCTGAGACAGTTCTCGAGAACCGCCTTGGGATTCGTGATGTCGAGGAAGTCGGGCGTCTGAGATTGGAAGCGTGAGAAGGTCGCCACAGGCAAAGACACACTCTCGATTAGTACGTTGTCACCTTCATCAAGCATAAGGTTCCTCATCATCCAGTGCGGCAAGTAGACTTTCCCTTCATCAGCCACGAACTCAAGCACGCCGCAGTGTGTGATCCTATTCAGCTTCTTATTCGAGAGCTTGAAAAGCATCGGGTAGCTTATATTGAGACGGGTCAAGTGCTCCAGGGCGGAGGGTGGCATTATAATTTTCCCACCCCTTTCTACATCTTCCCTCTCGTTTCCGGGAAACATGACCACCGAATAGCACGAATAGTGCGTGCTAAACGGCCGCGACATCACCGGAAACATATTATTAAAACTAAACATTTCTGAAATTCCTAAATTAATATTTTCTCTGGACAATGACGTTCACTAAACACAAATCTCAAATGGGGAGGTTTCAGTTTGGTTTCCTCGAAACGGCCATCGATTTCTTGCGATGCTGCTCGACAATCTACGAGCGCGCTCAAGCGGCTATTACCAAACTAAAATATAAAAGCGCCCACCCCCCCGCCATCAAAACTCACCCCCATCTTTTCCTCCATGAACATCAATCTCATTTTATTTTATTTTTATTTACAATATACTGGCTTCTTACAATATTACATTTACAATAATATACTATACATTTATACGTAAAATAATTAAAGTATTGAAAACATAAAATACATTGATAGACAAAATTAACGCACCACCCTTAAATTTTAATGCATTTAGGTTTATTCGTTTTTTGCATACCAAAACTAAGCAATTATTCTTTTATAAACTGTAGAAACAAGAAGTTAAATTATCATATTTGAAAAATCAGAAAATAATTACATAACAAAAATAAGTTGATTGAGCAACAACAGAAAAATTAATAGTTTACTATTCATACTTTATCAACATATTTATGTAAAATAAAATCAAATGAAATAACAGAGGGGTGACACAGTACTCATCACTGAAAGGTAAAGGTTCCGGATTCGATTTAGCAGCCTTATATATACTTACAAATTCGAGTGGATCGAGGTCACGATAGCTCAAGTGGTAGAGCAGCAGCGTATCTAGCTGAAGATCGTGGGTTCGAATCCCGCTCGTGCCATTGACTTTTTTTATCTCAACTAAAAACCTTAATTTATTGTAATATGTTAATTGGTCTAGCAGACCACGAAATTAGTGAATTTAATACTTACAATTTTTTTTTTTCCAAAACACCAATCCCCGAAGGTTGATATTATGACTTCTGTCATTGTCAACTATTATTGGAACAGTGGAACAGAAGTAAATAGTTAATAAAGTGAAGCTGTTTAATAAAATTACTAAATAATAAGAAAAAAATCATTTGAAGGAATTTATAGAACATGTTTATTACTTTTCCAAAAGGAATATTTGGCCCGTACTTAGTTTAATCACACTCAATTAATTTTTTTAAATAGAAAGAATGTAAAATTAAAATACGCAAGGATATACATACATACATGCATACACATATGTATGTGTATGTGCAAAAAACACAAGTTAAATAATTTATTTTGAAAAATAAAATTAAAATTAAATAAAAAACTGAAGCATATTTCTCGGCTTTTCTTGTTTGATTCAAGTTTGCCGAGGGATTTGATTTGAGAATGGATTGAATTATTTTTTGATAAATATTTCCAGCTTGAGAGAATATCAAACACCTTGAACATGTGAACAATCAAACAATTGTCTTGAGAAAAAGTGTCATTGGGCCAATTTTTCTCTATAACATTTTAAGAGAATAAAAAGCACTCTTTATTCCTCCATTTATTTTGGATAATCTCATTTGCCAAATAAAAGATATAATGGTTGAAAAAATGAGAAGGAATTTGAAATAAAAGAATCGTGTTTTGTCAACAATTTAGGGAGCCATTGCAATCCACAAGAAGCATTAGAAAATGACCCACATATTAGGAAAGAATGATCAGATTTGTCAGCCAATGTAAAAACATTTACATATCAATTAGTTCTTAATAACAATAAATCACAATCCCAAACAAAATTTGTAAGCTTACAAAAACATTAAAATACAATTGGTACTATCCATCAATAAATCAAACAATATTAATTTGTAGTCATGTTTTGAATGAGGAAACACTACAATTAATTAATCTATATATGTATTTAGTAGTAATAATTGACTGTATTAATTAATTCAATTTATTTTACTTTCTAAGGTTTTGGTTGAGATGGTAATTGGTGTCCGGTATATCGAAGTCACTATAGCTCAAGTAGTTAGATCAGGTCTTCAGTTCGAATCCCGCTCTTGATGCTAGCTTTTTCATCTCAACAAAAAACATAGATAAAAAGTATAATTAATTAAAGTTACATTCACAACACTTTCACACAAAATCAATATGACACCACAAGAATAGCACCTGAAGATGATCGAAATAAAGGTCGAAACGTCAGCAAAAAAATAAAAAAGGTGTTTTTCTAAACTACCTCATTCTTGACTACTCCTCACGACTTCTACAAATTATTAAAATTACAATTAATAGACATTAAACAAGTGTTTACTGTTTTGAATTTTTGTATAAAATTTTACGTTGTTCCTAAAACATTTAGTACTATATGAATCATGTTGAAATTTCAATTCCAACCATTCTTATTCATACAAAAATCACTTACTGAAATTTCATACATTTTCTATATTTACAAACTATATACTTAAATATAATAATAACCATTTGCTACTAAACCTACAAATGACTAAACAATACAGTTCTGAAATGAAGAAATTTTTAAAATAGAACTGAAATCCAAGCATTCTAAACATACTGCAGTACTTAAAAATAGCAAAATAAGTTTAAATAAAACCAAATTTCATTATGTCTATTAAATAATAATTAATATTTGATATTATGCTTTAATGTTAGTTATATTTTATATTTTCCAGGCATTCTGTATTTTAAAAGAATGTATTTTTCCAGTTGGTGCACTGGACTTGTAAAACCAGTTTCAGCAGACAAATGGTGTTATATTGAATGCCCTATAGACTGTGAATTATCTGAATGGAGTGAATGGAATTCGACCAAGTGTCATTGTAATCAATCTGGGATGTCCAGACATGCCATCATAAAAACAAACCCAAGTTCGACTGGTCGACCATGCCCCAATCTTATTCAATGGAAACCCTGCCCAGCCACCCCTTGCTACAGTTGGCAAGCAAGCCCTTGGACACCGTGCCAGCTCCATGTAAGACTAAAAGTAATTTCCTCTTGAATTTATTATTAAAAATATCTTTTAAAAATCTATTTTATGTCGTTTGTATTATTGCAGGGTGCTACATGCGGCCATGGTGTAAAGACCAGGAACATAACATGTATCAGAGGTAAAGACAATGTAACAGTTGAAAATTGGCATTGCTCTGGAACAAGGAAGCCTCCCACTTGGGAACAGTGTCATAGCCCATGTGACAGTGATTGTCAATTATCGAATTGGAGCGAGTGGTCCCATTGTCATGCAGACTGTACTAAGGAAACTTCAGGTGGAAAACTTGCCAATAAATAATAGAAATCACAAGGCTCATTTTTATTCTTGATTGTAAAAATTTCAGGTTATCAGACGAGATCAAGGGCTGTTATTAGGCCCGCCCAGTCTGCAGGAGCTGAACCTTGCCCAGAAGCCCTTTGGGAAACGAGACCCTGTGACTTGGGCCCTTGTTACACCTTTGATTGGACAGTCGATTCGACTGGCCAAGTAATTTGCCAACGATCAGATGGTCTACATGTTGTTGGTAAGAATAAAATGTAAAATTTTAACTATTGCACACCTCCTTTATTTATAAACATTTATATTTTCTTTTGTGTATGGTTTATTTTAAAACAAATTTCTTGTAAAAACCAAAATTTAATATAAATAACTTTGTACATTACTCAGCCCTCCACACAGTGTGCACCCTTTTCAGGGATGTCCCAAAAGGCAAAAATAAAGATTTATTAAATTATCATTTTAATTGACATTTTGTTTAAAGGTGGGTGTAATGGGAAAAAGAAGCCCGGTACCTCAGCTTGTCAATGGCAAGATGGTCACTGTTTGTGTGAAGATGGTGCGATTGTATTACAACAAACAGCTTGCCCATCAGAAACCAATGAAGTTCAAGCAAGAGTCTACTACCCAAGTACTGAGTTATTTTTATTTTTAAAGTAGATTTTAAATGGTTTGTTTTTCTACATTTAACATTCTTTTCAGGAGATGATCACTTGAGTGTATGGATGTTTGCTATGATTGGAATTGGATGTGTTTTCATAATATTTGTCGCTGCTTCTATTTATCTACTTTGGTAAGTTTCATTTTCTTTTATTCACCTTTTTGCTTTATTTTTGTCTTCCATTTAATTATTTATTATTAGTCTGCTCTGAGAAACAATTTAAAATCAAAATTTTTTTTCAGCCATTCAGGACGAGAAGTTGGCATGGGATACCAGTCAACAAAGTAAATGCTGTTTCTTCCAAAATAACAAATGTTTCTTTGAGAAATTAACTGAAGATTATGACAGTTAATAATACTACAGAATTTTTAATATGTACACCTTATACTTTGAAGCATTCTGTTTCATAGAAAGGCCAATTGTTTTGCTATATGTAATTTTATATATGTACTTGATGTTAGGGAAAGCAGTATTTAAATTTCCCATGTTGCATACATGTTACAACTTGTAACATATATTATTTACAAAAGAAAATCAAATGTTAGCTTAAAACAAGTGTAAGTTCTCAAATGGTTGTGATGTATTAATATGTTGAATGTTATTAATAGCAGTATTATTCAAAAAATGGGTAACTTTTGAATGTATTTTATACATCTGAATGTACATAATGCGGGAAATATTTTTAATTTTTCAAAACAAATTGATAGCATTTGATAATAATAAATGGAAAACATAAAGTTAATGGAACTAACAATTGCTTCCTTGCAAAATAAAAATAACAAAAAAAATATTATCAATAATTTCCGAGCCAACTTTTAGCATATGTTGTGTAGAATTTTTATTTAACTTAAGATTTGTTACTTGACAGAGAAAAGTGAATACAAATTTTAGAACCATAAGGTTGTAGAAATAGCAGCAATTAATGCAGAAAAATAGATATATAATTTTATATCTTTGCCCATACAAGAAATGTATTAAGAGAAAGAGGAAAAATCCATATAGGTTAGTCTGCCTCTTTGATCTTGAACTGGTTTAATATGGTTTTGCAGACAATATTCCTTTAACAAATTGACCAAAAACATTTTTGCCAAAAAAATCATATAATATATATAATAAAATACATTTACATCACTAAAAAATAGATTTACTTTGCCATGTTGTCCTTGGTCTATTCATGAGGTGTACATAAATAACTTGGAAAGCCATAAAGCCAAGTAAAAATATTGCTTTTATGAACTTGTTCAATGTAAATAACCTGTTTAGAATTGAACAGTGCAACAATAAAAATGAATAAATGATATATTAGTAACATCTATTTTGTACACTATTTTGTTATTTATAATCTTTGCAAACCAAATAATAATATATGAAAATTCCCCAATGTTTAGCAGGATTCATTTGTATGATGAGTGAATGTTGTACGATGTTACCATTTAAAAAATAAAAAGGACTTCACTTTTACAGTCTGTAATGTGTAGGGGTTTTTGATGTTTTGAGTGTTATCCGGTTAATAACAAATAAATAGACATTGGTGTTTATTTATTTTTCATTAATGTTTATTTAATTTTCATGGACATTTTATTGCAACCCATTTAGAAAAATATATATTTGTGAAAATGGTAATTTAGACATTAAAGTTGTTATTTGAAAGATTAAAAATTTATAATTTTGTTCTTGAAAACGAAAATTAAAGACCGTCTATAATTTGAGTATTTTTTATATATTAAAATATAGTAATTGAGGCTTGTAATATTCATATAATATGTGATATCGATGAACCATAATGATACTACAAACAAATAAATAAAAAAGACAGCTTCGACAGCTTAATACTTAATTTTTCTTCAAAATTATAAATTATACCCACCTAATATAACTAATGAACATTGTTTTTGGTTTTCTGTACATTATTAGAAAGTCAATATTTCCAAATTGTATTCCATCGAAATCATGTATTCTCAAAAAATTGTAAAATGTTACTGCTTTTATGATGATACAAACCAACTTAATTATGCAAAAAATACATGTACATAATTATAATACTAGTCTATATATATTATGTAAATTCTCCTCTATATAAATATTTATATTAATTTTAATCGATTTTGGCTTCACAGATTTGTAAGTCAAATTGTTCTTGTCCATTTAATTTTTGTATAGGAAAGGAATAACGATTGTTTCTGATAACTGTTATTGTTTATGCACCTGTTAATATTTCATAATTTAGAGAAAAAATGTGGATTTGCTTTGAGATAACAAAAATGCACATATACAGAAAATAATGTATCATGTACAAGTTCTTCTAAACAGTTTTAATATCCCTTCAAAATTTAACCAAATGATAACCCAATGAAAATATTAATTTAAAAAAAGGAATTAAGGAATTATTCATATATGTAGTTCCTTTATAGAAATGACAATAATTCCTTGGGATTTATCATAACGCCCACAACTAAATACATCAAATAGAAATGAATATCAATTGATATGTTTGAATACAAACACAGTGGAACATTAATGTGAAAAATAAGTTAATAGATATTGACAATGGTTGGCAGACTGTCAATTATGGGAAAAATTGTTTGAATGTTTATTGAAATTGCATTAACTTTTTTAAATGTTTTGACTGAAAATTAATTTGTAAAAGTAAGAAAGACAAATTATGGACAGAACAACCCAAATTTTGTGATTGTTTACAAAATGCCGATTATTTTGTATATTTTAGTGTTTGTAATTGGCCTATAAGAGCAAACCTTACATTGACAATACATGAATGTGCTATGTGCGTTAAGAGCTTGTTGGTTGATTAAATGGAATTATGTGAGAAGCATAAAATAATGATATGATCCTGTCCAATTAACTAAGAAATTTTTGTATGTTCACTGTTTTTGTGTACCTAGTTAGTAAAACAACTAAATAAAGTACTTACTAACAATAAACATTTTTTTTTCAATTCTAATTTACATATATTTAATGTAAAATGGGTATTAGACATGAAACAATTTAATGCTGAAATAAATTTAATTTTTAAATATTCATACAATTATAAATGTGAACAATAAAACAGATAACAACAAAACAGCATTCAGCACAAACTTAAATATACATACATTTTAACATTAAAACATAATTTTTTTCATGAATATTTATTTTTGTGGTTAAAACAGGACAATCTATACACTTTAAAAAATATGCAACATATTATCAACGGTGTGGGGCTAATTTCCAAAACACTCAAATAAATAAATTTGACTACCTACAACAAATAAAACAGAGATTAAATTTAAGAAATGAAAGTTAAAAAATGATTCATTTGGCTTTTTAAAATACATGCATAAAGCTTCAAAAAAATTAATAAACCACCAATAGATCATAAATCACTTCTATGCCTATTGTTATTTTTTTGTAGACTTTTTCTTTGTAAGTTTCTTTGTTTGTTTCTTTGGAGCACATCGATAATTTTCCCAACAGTAACAGTTTGATGAGCTGGAGCTTGAATAATTTGATGAATCATAGCCATCACTGCAGAATGAACAACTGCAGCAATCACTGCTATCTACAAAATTAAAGCCATTAGTTAAAATAAAATTAACCAATACTATAAAAAAAATTGCCAAATGGAAATGATAACAGTTAAGGATAAATGAATAAATATAAACGTTATTTTCCAAGATAGATGAGATAAAAAATTATTTCACATAAAATGTCATTGGAATACATTCCTTTTGCGTACCTTAATTAAACACATATTGTTAAAAATTAATAAATTTGGTCATTTAAATTAAATTTAAACATTATGAAAATAATTACAGAATATTTATATATTATTTATATGGCAGTGTAGATTTTTTTTTTTTTTTTTTTTTTCAAAAAGGAGGATATTGCTTTAATACCATTATAATTTGTTCTTATATCAAAATGTTAATTTAATATTTTGTGAAATTCACAAACCTTAATTTCAACCCTCCTAAAAATATTGTGTAAAAAGGAGTCCAATTTATTAAGCTGCAGATTAAATTGCAGATTAATTCTGTTTAATTCCAGAATAATTCTATTAAATTACCTTGGTGTGCAATAACACATGTAAAATTTATTGTTAAAGTAGCAAATTTTAATGTTAAGTGCCATATGGCACTGAAATCTATAGAGTACAGAAGAGATATTGCAACCAACCGACCAGATTAAAAAAACAAAAATGTTATTTTATATATACAATGCTTATTAATTTTATCCTTTTTGTATAAAAGGATTTTCTAGAAATAATCCTACAAGAAGGCTGACATGATTATACATGTTTGTTACAGCATTGTACAAGTCCATTTTATCAACTCCACTTTTTAAAATAACATATTAGTTTGTTTGGAGAAATGTTGATATAATAAATACTGAAAGTTAAATAAATTACATTAAGAATAAATAATAAGTTTAAAAGAAAACTTACCATATTCATCTGATGAATCACATGAAGATGAATCGGAGTAATCTACAAATTAATTGAAAAAATTTTAAAAATAAGGCTTAAGATGATAATTTGAAAATGCTTACTAGGCATTCGCGAATGTTTTCCTTTTTTTGAACTGTTGACTTTTTTCTTTGACGTGGATTTGGTGGATTTTCGTTTAGACTGTTTTGAAATAGGGCATGTTGCTAAATTTTCCATTTTGCCTTTGCTTTTGGGTGTGTAACAGTTGTAACCACTGGAGGTAGACTGCATGGGGGAAGTGTGCTTCTCTTCAGTTTGAAGTTTGACCTTTGGACTGCCAATCTTCTCTTGGTTGAAGGAGATGTTTACTGTTTTTATCTCGTTGTCCGACGGGATGACAATATTAAAAGGCTGGACTGTTTGGTTGTTCATTCCTTGTAATCCTACTATGTTTAAAGTCAAACTTTTTTGTTGAGTCAATTCGATTGATTGATTCGAGGTTTCTGTAAGGCGATCTTCAAAATTGGCCTCATTTGTTGGAATTTCACTCTCTTTTGAGATGCTGTTAGCCGAATCAGGATTTTCCTGCCTTTCTTCCAATAGCAAAACATTTTCGGCGGATTGTTCATAAATTGTCTGCTGATGATAAATTGGTGCACTTTCTGTTTCTTCTGCTTCTTCTCTTATAGGGCAAGTTATTTGAATGGTCTCAGTACTTTGCATTTGCTTGCTTTTCGATCTTGTGATCCTATGCGAGGAGTTTGGATGAGTGAGAGAATTTTGCTTTTTCTTCTCATTCGCCCCTGTCTTCTTGGAAGTTTTCCTTTTTGAAGGAAGATCTCTAGCATTCACCTGGATCCCTTTCGAGTTGTCAGGTTCGACCCATCGAGGCTGGCTTTTGGCATGTGAAAAAGACTCAGAGAAACTGTTACTGCTCAGTCCATTCTCAGTAGAAGAAGAGTTACGTGAACTAGAAGCTGATGCAATCGGCGATGAGGAACGCATTTTTCGACTATCATTTTCTGGGCAGGGATAAAAACTTATTGGAGAGTACTTGCCATCTTCCACACTGCCCACACTACAATTATCGTCGAATTCTTCTGTTGACTTATGTGAGGTAGATCCTCCAACAGTTATGTCACTCATGGTGGTACCCTCAAATCAGAATCAATACGTCATTTATTAATGATATAATGATTTAAACAATGATAAATTAAGGAAAATGAAAAATTAAGTACAAAAAGCATTCATTCCTTTTTTTTAAACATAGTTCCTACTACTATTCTAAGTGATTTAGAACCGTAGAGGCTATACTTAATGGATTGGCATTAGCATTGGTAAATAAATTGTAGCTGGAGGTAAAAAACGATAAATTGGGGAGTTTTGTTGATTTTATACCTTTCTTTCACTTATAATGTCATAAATAATATAAAAATCTAAAAAACATTGTTACAGTCTTAAACACGAGATATTCAAAGGTTGTTGTGTTCAATGTGGTGTAAATAGGGATTATGAATTTTTAGGTGGACCGGACATCGGAGGATACAAAACTTGGCCTCTCCTTAGGCAAAAAAAAAGTTACTGTGAGTAGGAACTATTTAAAAAAAAAAAAGGATTGAACAACTCACTCCATCATTCACCATTTCTAATAAAAGCATTCGTTGTTTCAATTAATCAGTGTTCTATTCTTTAAGCTCTAATTATTAATTCCTGCTACAATTTGTTAGACAATAAAAAATTAATGAAAATAACAAATTTGAATTTAGAACCATTAGTCTCAAATAATGGTCACTACTCCTACAAAATTAATAAACTGACTAATTATTTATTAGTTTGAAAGTGTGAAATAATAATATTGTGTATAACAAAACCAAAAAATTTTATATTAGAGCTGTTCATCTCTATTAATGGTTATTAATAATAATAAAACATTAATGAGCATGATGAAAACTACTAATTGAATCTAAGATCCAAGATCTTATAAGAAAATTGTAATTTTAAAGCTGAAGTATTTCCAAAGTTTAACAAATTTGATCTTTTTTTCTATCATGAAAAAAATTCAAAATTCAAAACTGTTCATTCTCAAGTATTTGATAAAGTCTGCCAAGAATGCTAAACGAGGTCTGTCAGTGGATACAATCCCAAATCATTTATCATGTTAATTAGGGCTAGGCCCTACTAATAAATAAGTCATCGTTATACACAACTAAAATGAAATAATTAATTACAATAAAGTTCTATTTTTGGGAGAAAGAAAGCTAAATACACAAACATAGAAAAATTCTTCCAGCCCATGACGTAAAACTTCTCTCCTAACTCTCACAGAGACTTACGAGTAGAGGTAGTGTTCCCTAGGGAAATGTTCTAAGACCAATCATGTTGTCTACTTTATATGTATGAAGGAAATATGAAGTGCAATGCATATGAAAATAGTGTCAAAGAAAAGTGCAAAATATGATCAACTGGATCAGTAGTTTGGAATATTTATTCAGATATCATGAGATGCTGTTGGGTGTGATGTAGGTTTCAGAAAAACATTTTCTTTATTTAGCAGCTCTTTTTCTGAAACCTACATCACACCCGACCGCATCTCATGATATCAGAATAACTATCGATTAACGATCACTAATCTCTACACAGTTTGGAATATATTGATATACAGACAGTATAGAAGATAAATGGTGAAAAAAATTAACAGCACATTGGCACTTCATAAGACAATTTAAGAGGACCTAGACCTACAAATTGGATTCTTAGATTTCAGTTTGAACAGTAATAGACTAATAGTGTTTTGTGTCATTTAGATGGTCGTTAAATTTTTAAAAATTGTTCGATTTAGGTAAGTGTTCTTTAACTCTCATTTTAATTTCTCTGCTGCTTTGTCTTATAATATGGCAATCATTACAATTAAGTTTGTAAACCCTGCTTTTTGACAGGTTGTCAACCTTGTTTTTAGGTTTTGAGGAAATATTTCTAAGTTCTAAGAATTTTTTAAGGGGGTATTCCATCTACGAGGTTATATGAGCCTCCAAGGTGGCAGTGTTTTTGAAAAAAAGACCATTACCAAATATGACAGGTTCGTATGCAGATCACTGGATTCAAATCCAGGACATTTACTTTACAGTAGTGAGTGCCTAACAATGCCTGGACCGTTGTGGTTTAAGAATTTTACCTACTTTTTCTGTTCCCAATGCATGGCAAGCAATAAATTCATAAAGTTATTCAGAAATCGTGAGATGCGGTCTGGTGTGATGTAGGTTTCAGAAAAACATTTTCTTTATCGTGCCAACGTTTCGATCTTCATTGAGATCATCTTCAGGGCCTGGGATTTACAAACACTTACTAATCACCACACAAAATTCCTAAAGATTCATTTCTGGTGGGGTAGTTGAGTCTGATTGTTGCTTCTTTTTAAATTAATTTTTTTATTCTCTTACTAGCAACCTATCAATAAATATTTTGTGATATCCATTGCGTTTAGCTCAGGTTTTAATTGTTTGTAATTCTTTTTTATAATTAGCATGTGTTAATCGAAGTTTTAAACATATTGTCTATGGGCCAAATGAATCCTGCAGCTTTTTGAGGGTGAGAAGAATCTGCTGGTATCATAGATTCTGTATTTGTGAGTTTTCTGTATACGTCTATTGCAATTAGGTTATTTACTATGGACAGTTTTAAGTCTAAAATGTTTAAAGAACAATCTTGATTTATTTCCAATATAAAATTTATACTAGGATGTAAAGAATTAATTAATTGGAGGAATTATTTTAGATCCTCTAGAGTTCCCAACCATATACATATATTGCCTACATAGCGTTTACAAAAAAGGACAGTTTTAATTAATTTATTGTTTTTCAAATAACAAGTTAATTTGTCTTTTTTTTGGATATGCTTGTAGACCATGTTTAATAAACATATGAAATATTTAATTATTTATTATAACATGGTCCTAAATAAAGAAGAAAACAATTCATTAAATAAAGTTTTAAAATTTGTCCCAAAAATAGAACTAGATACAAGAAACTACTATCTCTTGGTTCATTGTAGTAAAATAAATACATATATAAGTGTGCTGAAGTAATTAAACCAAATTTGATAAATCAGTGTTTCACAGTTTCAACAAAGGGAGGAAACTACATTGGCTTAAGAAATTTTAAATAAAAAAAGGTAAACTTAAACATGGAGCTAAATGCGAAAATAATATCATAGATTTTGATTTACCTCCTAGTTTAAAGATGAACCTAAACAATATTTGACATTAATCACTCATTTAAAATTAATTTCTTACAGTATTTATTAGGGTAATATTTAGTAATTCACGTTTTTCGCACGTTCGAAATAGAGCGGTATCAAAAACCAACTTTTCATTAGTACGTCGACCATATACATAAAATATCATCTACACAGCATTTCCAAACAAGGACAATTAATTTATTTGATTTGAAAAGAAGTTTTTCAGAGTTATCCAAGAATATTTCGGCACAAAATAGGGATAATGAGACCCCATTTAGTAAACCTTTCGTTTCAGAAAATTTATTATTAAATTTACAATAATTAGATAGCAGGCATATATTTAAGAGGTCTAATATCTAATTTTTTACATTTAAAATTTTTAATATATTTGTACTTTCACTTCTTTACAATATTTTTTAGGAATTTTTCAACTTTAGAAACTTATTTTTTGGTATTCAATGATAACTATACTATTTCCTTTATTGGAATTAAAAATAATATTGCTTTTTAACTTTTTATCAATAGACCTAATTTTACATATGAATATTTAATTATTTGATGTTTAGATTAATCAAGTTTGGTTTTATTACTTCAGCACATTTACATTTTATATTTGCATTTATTTTACTACAATCTACCGATGAACCAGTTTTAGTTAGTTTCGCTGTATCTACTTCTGTTTTTGGGACAAATTGTAAGCCTATATTTAATAAATGGTTTTCTTCTTAATTTAGGACTCTATTTGTTAAGTGTATAACCCTTCAGTAAAATCTAATTGAAGTTGTTTGGTCTTTATGAGCATTTTTAAGTGTACATGGTTAGGATTTTAATAGCAATGACAAATTTAACTTTTGACGTGTATCATAATGCAATTTATTCCCAATCTAATAGAGATAATAAATTTCAACAATACAATTCATCATTTCTAATAAAAAATGTTAAAAAAACATTCTGATTCATTTTAATCACCCTTTAAAGACCTTAAATAAAAGTATTCAGAGTGAACAAAAATTGACATTTTTTGACAGAATACTTGGAAATTTTTTCTTCCTGAAGTCCAGTGTTCCAATTAAAATTCATAACTCCTCTGGATTTTATCCAAATCAATAGTTATTACAATCGTTTGAAAGTTAAATATTTCTTCTTTTGGATTATGTCAACAAAGTGTAGATTTTATGCAATTCAATTGGGAAAAATAAGGACGAAATTAACAACCAAAAACTCAAATATTTTATTTTTTATCTCAGGTTCTGATTAATTTAAAGAGGGCAGATTTGAGCCGTAGCGTGTGCAATTAAAATTCTAAATTCCTGTTTACTTTCTTGTAGATCGGCGGCGTCTTTATAAAGATTCCAATATTTTTGTGATTTTGAAAGAAAACCGACGGCGAAAAATTTGTTAAAAAATTATATTTTGCGATTTCCTCAAAAAATTTTATTCAGGGGTTTTTCGTACCATAAAATTCCCCGGATAAAAATTCTTGAGGAAATGGAAAAATAAACTATACATATATTATAACTAATGCCTCCGATTTTGTTCGAAAGTCACAAATATAGTGATAACTTTAAAACTCCATAGATCCACAGGAAAAAATAGACGAATTTAGAACCTCAAAGCCAACACGTTTTGGCCTCCCAAAAAAATTATATCCAGGGATATAAAATAATGGTGTTAATTCCCGAAACGTAAACAAAATTAACGTAAAACTAAATCAGAAAATTAAAATAATTTTATTTAAAAAAACTCCACTAACTATAAATATAAAAAAGGCAGACTTTTGAAAAAGCCATTTTACACAATAAAAATGATAAAAAATTAAATTTTGATGTTCATCCTTAATTTTTCACTTGTAATGACGTACATTGTAACATTGTTAGTACATTCTGAAAGAAGAGAAAGTCAACTTTCGAATAATTTTAATATCGTTAAATTTGGCTAAAATTCAGAGGTGTCGTGAGTTGTTTAACTAGAATACCGCATATCGGGGAGGAAAAAAACAATCCAGTCAAAAATGTATATGTATTTTTTTATTAGTATGAAATTTGGAATTTGTAGGTTTTAAGGAATGCTTAAAACTACGCCGATTTTTTTAAAAGTTTTTTTAATCCTAAGCGCTTAATCAGAGCTAGACTACATGGATATGCACAAAAGCCAACTTCTTTTCTAATCTAATCTAATAGATTATTTTAAATAATAAAAAAACTGCAACACTGTTTAAAAATAGCATTGCTCGAGAGCTTTACGTACACTTTTCAAATTTTGAGGTTTAACGTTTAAACTCTCAAATAGACAAATAATAAAACTGCTACTAACTCACTAATGTCAGTCATTGGCAGTGTTGCGACTGAGTCGCTCTTCAAAAAAAATTGAAACCATCTCTTAAAAAATTTATTATTTCAAATTGTAGACATCTTTAAGATTGTTTTGCCCTGATGATAACCTTAATATAGGTCGAAAGCTTGGCAGATAACAATTGAATTTGTTTTTCATCCAAACCATACCTGCAGATTATTCACGAGTAAAAAAAAAATGGTTGATACATCTAACCTTTAAACTTAAACAAGCCTACAAGTAAAACTTGAACACAAGGATCGTGGGAATCAACCACTTAGTAGCTTAGAACAAGTTTTAAAAATTTACACGAAAGAAAATTTTTACAGGGCAAAAAGTTGAATTGTCTACTAGATTCATACCACTACCCCTTTTGCAAACCGTCACTTTTTTCCCATTTAGCAAACATTTCAGCATTTTGTAATTGTATCATTATATTGTCTTTGTAATAATTACAAATTACAAATTAATTTAATTATTAAAGAAAAGTGTATCCCACTAGAAAGCTTATTAAACGAAGTTTTTATGAAATTTGCCCAGCTCTAACGTGAATTTTTCCAATGAGGTTGTAATTTTATATTTATTTTACAAATTTTAGCAGTTTTTAAAAAATTTAGTGTTTTTTTACCGAAAATGAAATCGAAAGTTGTAGGCTACCTACTTAAAGGAAATTTAATGCTGTTAATTAATTCTTAATTTCCCCAAAAATAGATATTTCATTATGGGGATAACCGTCGATAGTTAAAAAATAATCGGACCACGGTTAATACGAAGTTTTTGGTTGCATTTGAGGTATAGAATCACCTGACGGATCTGACGAAGTGAATCACCCTGTATACCTAATTTCATTTAATTCAATCATACTGATTATTTTCTTATGGTTCGAATGTTATGTATAAATCTTGAAATACACAAATTTCATTTCAAAAATATTATGTGAATTACTCAAAACCTTCTTTTCTAAGCTCCTAGTGCCATAATAGTCATAATGCCCGGATAGGTGCTTAATATTTTTCGAATTGGTATCATCAAAAAAGTTCGTAGCCCCTCTCGTGAGTGAAACCTAAATTTGTCTAGTTTTATGAATATAAAAAGTAAAATTAATATTTTTAGCCGAGTTTTAAAAGAAAAATATTTGAAAAACTGCCAATCTTAAGCAAACAAGACAAAGTTGGTCAATTTCATTTCATCAAATACTGGTTTAAAAAAATTGAGCAAAAGAAAAAACTATTTATCTTGTAAGGACGCAGAATTCTTAAACAAATTATTATTATAATTTATTTATTTCATTTACTTATTTTATTACTGACATATGTGTTAAGAGAATATAAAGAAAATCTAAATCGAGTCTTTGTCGTTTTATTTCTGTGTTTTGATGTATTGTTTAAAAAAACTATATAATTAATATAAAATAAATAGTCTTGATATTAACGTTACCATGTAAATTTTCTGTAATTTCTCGAATTTAAAAATATCTCTTGTTTGTTTCCTGATAAAAAGACTCGACTGCTTGCTGAACTACAACTGTTCTAAAAGATATCCTCGACTGTGCCTAATAAAAATAGCCGAGCATCTTTTAAATTAAATCGGTTTATCAATTTAGAATTAATTTCATACATCTTACCTTGTATTCGGCATGAAACTGTATAGATCATGAAAACAGAAAACTAAAGTAAACACCGAGAAGGATTATCTTAATACTTTTAATAATTTTGTAAACCAGGGACGATGTTCTGCAAAGAAAAACGAGTCGAACTAATTGTCTTACCACCCTTTGCCCCAACACATCCTCAAAAAATTTAATGTAAACGCGTATAATTTTAAAAAAGAACGATCATTAAACAAGGAACTAGTTCGTAAAACAATAAGCCATTTAAGATTAGCAATATTCAATATTAAAATCAATTACTTTTCGGATATTATAAGTAAGTCTGAAAATTTATAGATGGGTATTACATTAATTTGGAACAAGTTCTGGGAAATGTCGTTAAAAAAGTAAATTGATTACAATTTAATTTTATTTTAATTATTTACTATTAATTATTAACCATTAATGACATCTTTGATATGACATTTAGACATTGCACAGCCAGTTTCTTTCGACTAATCTTCGAAAAGACATATTTTTCCCCTTCTTTCAATGTATATAAAATGTATAAAATACATTCTTTTACTAGTGTTATCACATTTTCTCTTTTATAATTGAGAAACAAGAAACCACTATAGGTTCTTTAATAAAAACAAATAAAAAATTGTGCATAAAATAAAAAAATATCAATCTTATTAAACAATCATTCTGTTTATTTAAACAGTGAATTGAAGATTTAATTTATTTAAATGAAAGTATATTCCGAAAAGGTAAAGTAGAATGAAGAATATAATTTTAACATTTGCAAATGCATAAAAGATGTGACCAAAGAAAGGTTTTTTCTGGTAACTAATAGAAATCGAAGTGACTTCAATCTTTTAAGAGATTAATCCGATTTTTCTGTTTTAACCATTGAATCGTGGTCGGTCTTAACTTTCACTGAATGTCTTTTGACATGGACTCTTAGATTGCTTGAAAAATTGGTCGTGTACTCGCATTGAGAACAGGAAAATTCTTTGGTTATAGTATGAGTCTTCATGTGAGATTTGAGTGAGCTTATGCGAGCACATCTAAATCGGCAGATCATGCACATAAACGGTTTCTCACCTGTGTGAGTGAAAAGGTGGGATTTCAGTGCGCCCGAATAAGCGCAGCGATAGTCGCATTGTGCGCATTTGTACGGTTTGACGCCGGTGTGGGCTCTCATGTGGACTTTCAACGTCTTTTTCTCCCTGCACCTGTAATTGCACATTTCGCACGAGAATGGTTTTTCTTCCGTGTGGATTTTGTTGTGGTTTCTCAGATGTTCCGGCCTCGTACACCTATAATCGCATAGAACACATACGAACGACTTTTCGCCAGTGTGCGTGGTCATGTGGCCTTTCAGGTGGCTGGCTTGGGTTGTTCTGAAATCGCAGACGGTGCATACGTATGGTTTTTCTCCTGTATGGACTCGGATGTGCGCTTTAAGGGAGCTCGCGTAGGAACAGCGGTAATCGCATTCTGTACAAGCGTAATGCTTAACGTCAGAATGTACTTTCATGTGCGTCTTCAAATTGCTGGACTGTGAACTTCGGTATCCGCATTTTGGACAGACGAATGGCTTCTCTCCTGTATGGGTCCTCATGTGTATCTGAAAACTCGCTTTGTAAGGGTATCTCATCTTGCAGATCTCGCAGACGAACGGCTTGACACCCGTATGAATCCTCATGTGAGATTTGAGGTGTGACATTTGTGAACTTCTGTACGAGCAGTGGCTACATCGATAAGGCCTTTCACCAGTGTGCGTCCTGGAATGTGTCGTCAGGCACTGCTTCGTTTTACATTTATAATCGCAATCGGTACAAGCAAACGGCTTATCCTGGGTATGAATGCGAAGGTGTACTTGTAGGCACGATTTGTACAGCGCCTTGTAGTCGCATAATTTACAGCTGTGATACTTCGCCGTGGACGTGTGCGTTTTTAAATGTCTTTGGAGGTGTACTTTCCGCGAAAACCTTTTCCAGCATTCTGTGCAGACCGTGTTCTTGGGTTGTCCTTGTTTTGCCGGTAAAATGTTCTCTTTGTTGTCTTCTTCGTCTTCCTCTTCTTTGATTTCCACCCCAAATTTATGCTCGTGAACTTCAAAATCACTGTAAACACTCTTATCTTCGTTTGAATTGAAATCACACTCTTGTGAAAGTGAACCTTCATCAGCCGTGAAAGACATCCTTCTTTTATGGTTATTGAAGAGAATGCATCAGACCTAAAATCAGAATCAATTTTGAAATGATACATTTTATGTAATAAAATAAGAAAATGTTTCCCACTGTTACCAAAAAAATAAATAAATAAATAAAAACTAACTGTCCAGTACAAAGTACTTGGGCTCGCTTTCTCTTTCTAATCCGCCCTGCTCTCAGACATCATTTTGTAATACTTCATAAAACATGTCATACAATTAAAATACTACTAACAACTTGTCTATTAGCAATGTTAAGAACTAGAAAAGCTCAAACAAGTGTGGGAAGAGACACTATGCAAGTAGATCAGCACAGCTAAAGGATGTCCGCATGGAGGGGTACTATCACCTCTTCTACGAAGCCTAAAAGTTGACGAATTGCTGGAAACTCTGGATCGTAAAGGGATAAAGTGTCAGGATGATATAGTCCTGGCTGCCAGGGGAAAATTCGAGGACACTTTCTGTGACAAAATCCAAAAAGGGTTAAAAATCACAGAACAATGGTGAAACACTGACATTTAAGGAACATACCGGCTCCATCACCATGAAGGCGTCACGAGATTTGATGGTGTGCAGAAGAACAGCGGGGAGAAACTGGGGATGCAGATCGAAACCCCTGCCTTGGATGTACACCATGATGGTAAGAAATATTCCTACACACGGAGTTATAGCCTGGGCCGATAAAGCAGAACAAATAGCAAAACGAAGAGAACTCACAAAAGTTCAGAGACTTGCATGCATCTATATAACTGAAGCGATGAGAACATGTCCTACAGTTGGTATGGAGAAGGTATTGGGATACACCACATGATAATGAGGGCACCACATAAAGCTATTATTAGTATCATTAAAGAGAAACCTCGAACATGTATAAAACTAAAATGGAGAGATAGTCACAACATAATGAAAGACCATCCAATTTTCATGGCTCCAAGAGACGACATGAACAGTATGTTTCAATTTAGTCAAAACTTCCAAATAAACTTAGGTACCAAAAAAAATGGGAAAGAGAGAAAAGCACCTCCTTCAAGAACGGCACCACGTATTGGTACGCAGATGGATTTAGAACACAAGAAGGTACAGAGGCAGGAGTATTCATCCTGGAACCAATTACTCGGATCCCATGGAAAATACATCAATATCTTCCAGGCTAAGATCTACGCAGTCGAGAGATGTCCTCAATTCAACTTGAATAAAGGGTACAAAAACAAGAACATGGGTGATCATGTCAAATAGCCAACGAGCCATCAAAGCACTAAGCTCAAATATCATTAGTTCAAAGATGGTGTTGCACTCAAAACCAAATTAAACATATTAGGTATGCAGAACAAAGTCAGCCTCTGCTGGGCCCCAGGACACTTGGGAGTAGAAGGCAACGAGAAAAACGGACGCCCTTGCAAGAAAAGAGGCTGCTATAGCGTTGATAGAACCCGAACACTGGCATAGGTACCTAACCACTCTATCAATGAACACCTCAGACAGAAAGATAAAAAGAAAATGAGGGAACAATGGAACTCACTCATTGGACATAAACAATCCAAGAACCTCCTACCAAATTTTGTAAGGAAAGAAGTAATAATATATCAAGGAAAGCAGGAAAAAACTGCGAATCCTAACAAGTTTTCTTAACGGACACTGCAAACTAAATGGGCATTTAAAGAAGATTGGCACAACTCAACACGGCAGGTGTAGATTCTTCAAAGAAGCAGAGAAGACACCAACATATCTATTAACAAACTGTGGCATTACACTTGACTGTAGGAGGAAGAGCTTTAGGAAGTACAATGTAGCCATAGAAGAAATTCAACCACAGAAATCGGTCGTACTAACCATATTCCTTGATGAACCAGGACTCACCGGTGTGCTATAAGCACAGAACGGGGAATACAATTGCTCTTAAGGGGCGCAGTATAAAATACACCCTGCTTAATCATCTACAACTTGTCTATCCAGGTAATGGCTAGCATTAGTTATTTTATTTTCCAGTAAAAATAAACACTAATTACTGATTTATATAAGATCAAATCGGCTCAGGCGTGTATAGAGTTTTGAACCTCACTTCTCGCAGTCCACCGGAATTTATTTACGATAAATTACCGGCAGGACTGGAGAATCACCCACCCAGGGTGTTGGCAGTCCGAGGTCAGACCTCGGTCTTAAACGGCCAGTTACCGAGATTGAGTTCCATGTGTTACCAACAGCTATGAAATTTCAACGCAATCGGTGCCTAAATCCATTCACTCTCGCACTTATTATTAAATACATTCTTACTTATTTAAACACGATTCATTCAGCTAGGCTAGGGTATACTCGATATTCCTCCATCACCTATTATATAGCTAGCCTAATTGAGGGTCGATTGATACTCACTATTCCGCAACCGGCCCTCTCACCCTACACATTCACACAAATAAATACATTCATTCTCAAAACACTTTAGAAACACAAAACTCTCATTACTATTTACAACCAAACAACCCTCATTCCTCCAAGAATCGGAACAGGGGAATCAGACGCTCGTTGCCGTGCTCAAGCACAATTCTCATATCGGGTCGCATTACTAAAAATAAATAGTTTTAACTTGCGGGCATCTTTTGTAAGTAATATCAACAATCACTTATTCAACATTATTTCATTAATTATTTGGAGATCGTTTTTTGTTGAGGTTGTGAGTGAGGCTCACAAGAATGACACATCTACGTGGAAAACAAACACTTTGAGACTTGAAGATGAGCTCAATAAAGATCGAAACGTTGGCATGATAAAGAAAATGTTTTTCTAAAACCTACGCCAAACCAGATCGCACCTCAAGATCTCCAAATAATCATTGGCTAACGGTCACTAAACACCATAAATTATTTCATTACCCACTCGCTGACGTATCATCGCTACAAACTCAAAATAACTTGAAAAAAAGGCGATTCCGTTCATTTTGGTCTCCCTATCCTTGCTGTTTTGGTCTGACAGACGTGTTTCGACTTATCACCATCTTCAGTGGTGTGTGTATCTGCAGTGTATGCTTTGTTTTAGATCTCTGTTGGGTCGGTGGTGTGGTGGACGAAGACTGCAGGCCAAAGCAAGCAGGATATTAAGTGGAATCCAAAGACAAGCTTGTCTCAGTTGTGTCACTGGAGCCTTGAGCACAGTGCCAACTTTGGCCCTGGAAGTGTTGTTAAACCTCCCACTACTTCATATTTTAATCCAAGGAAAAGCCAGAGCAGTCACTCAACTCACAGTCTTATAAATGGGCAACCATCTGCAAGGATAGGCCATGTCAGCGAACAATGGAAACTGAGAGAGGAGACATAGGCTGATGCCATATAGGCAAACTCCTACTGGTACACTGACGGCTTCAAAACCGACAAGGGCACGGGGGCTGGAGTCTTCGGGATGAATACAAAGACCGAACTTATGGTAAACCTAGGTAAATATGCTACAGTTTTCTAGTCTGAAATCATAGCGACTGAACACTGCGCTAGGGAAATTAAAAGGCTAGGAATACATTCCCGGAAGTTAGCCATCTTCTCTGACAGTCAGGCAGCACTAAAGGCCTAGCCTCATAGGAGGTGAGGACAAAGAGCGATTGGAACTGCATGGAGGTCATGACGGAAGTCAACGGCACTAATGCCCTGACCCTCGCATGGGTCCAGGGTATTCGGGGCATAGAGACAACAAAAAGGTTGGCCATGTTGGCCAAAGAGAAAGTCTACATGGACTCTCTCAAACCTGGACCCTACTGTGACATAACATCTTAAAATGGATCCTTAATGAATCCAAAGCCTGGTGGAACATTACCACAGGTATGAGGCACGCGAAGAGATTCATAGAAAGGTCATCCACAAAAGTTACAAAGGAATTACTGGAAGGCAGCCGCAACCGAACCAGGATTCTGGTTGGACTCCTTACAGGGCACTGCCATTTAAGAAAGCACATGCACCGGATAGGAATACAAGCAGAAGAAACACTGTGCAGATACTGCCAGGAAGAGACCGCAGAACACATTTTATGTTTCTGTGAAGGTCTACATAAGTGCAGGTTCTTGCAACTAGAACAGGAAAAACACAAGATCCTACACTAATGAGCCGCTGGCGAAGCTATGGAGGTTATTAACTTGATGTACGATCAGTATTATGGTCAAAGGGTAGAATAAAAACAAGGTTATTAACAACCTGAATCTGGCCATTGAGTTATTTGGAAAAAAACCGTGTGATGTCGGGAAGCCGAAATGCTTCTGTCAGACTAAAACACCCATCCTCATAGGCACACCAAATGAATCATTTCACATCATCTCTGGGTACAGCTAAAATAGCCGTTTCTTCTTTGTCCAACAATCATTCTTTCATAACAATCGTTCTTATAAGTTATTGATTTTAATTATTTAATTGCTTATTATTTTTGTAATTTCTGTAAACAATTGTCGGCATTCATTGTTTTCAATTATAAGAATAAATTTATACGAAAAACGGCAGATGATCTGTGATCGAAATATTCATAAATAGGCGGACCAGGATTATGTATCTTAATTGCAGACATAATTAATAAAGTATTATTTAATAAACATGTTAAATTATTAGGTAATAAAAAGATAAATATCATATCTATTGGACTATAAGAATAATGATGATTGTATTACTAACATTCATGGTAGTTACTGTAGCATCAAAGGATTAGCGTACATCCGTCGACACATAAATAATAAACAACCATTGGATTATTTCATCTATATCGGAAAATCAAGAGATCAAGAACACTCCCTAAATAGGAGTTTTCAAAGTGATATACTGTTAAAAAAAAATTTTTTTTTGAATAATGTTGGTTTATTGTTGTCTATGCAGAAACTTAAATTTCGTTCGCCGACTTTAAAACTACGGCGAAGGCGCGAAAATTTATTTTTAATTTATTTTTTGTGACAAGTCTTAAACTCCTTATAGTTCAACCAAGACAAGAACTTTTCGTCTTATGTTCAATATCCAAATTCGTGTTGACCACTTACTTCACTGGGTCCGTCTATTTTCGCTAGTTTTGCGTTACATTCTTTTGCGTAAAACCGGAGGTTTTGTCGTGTCCATATTATTTTTGATTTTGTTCTATGTAGTTTCTTGAATTTCTACATTTCTTTTCCTTTGTATGCAAATATAGACCATTGGTATGAAAATCATATTTTGCTCTTGACGCTACACATTCACGCCAATAAATGCATTCACTCTCAACACACGCTTGGGACACAAAACTATTATTACTATATAATATCCAATAACACAACCCTGTTTCCCCCAAGAATTAGAGCAGCGGAACTAGACACTCGTCGGCGGGCTCAAGTACAATTTTCCCATCGTGTGGCATTCCAACACGCTCTTTATATGGTATGGTGATAAGGATACTAGGAAGCGGGGTTTGTGCTCCCCGGGCACTGCAGCCTTCTGGCTTATTGTACCTTCATAGTTCCTTAGTTCAGTGCAATAGATTTGTAGGAGTTTAGGTGTGCCCCACAGACTCAATCCTTCTCCTTAGATCATTGACTATCGCAGCTACAATTTCGTTCCCAAAGTTATTGGTCTTTATATGGCCAAGGCTGTTCAATTGAGTGGAACACATGAGCAACCTTTATCTACAATCCAGACACATATGCGGGCTTTGGCCCAAAAGTAATGTCAACCTCGCATGGCCTATTCTTAATCGGGCCTTCTGCGAATCATGTCGTGTCCTCCGAGGGCCATCATCGACAGTGTTCTTAATACGCGAGAGCCTCCCTGCCGATCTGGCCAACCGACGTAGCCTTTAATCATGTTTTTAATCGCATTTTTAGCGTAAGGTGGCTGGCTCGAGTTGGTCAAGTCCGGAAAGAGCAGAGCCATGTTACCTACTTTAATTTTGGTCAAGTCCGGAAAGAGCAGAGCCATGTTACCTACTGTAATTTTATGTATTTTAAAAATCAGTGATAAGGCGAATTTGAAAGAAAGTATCTTCAACCAGCTTTCGAAGACTATCATGATTTTGAAACTTTCTAATGATTTACGTGTTGTACCATTTTTTGACCGAGATATAGATTTTGTTACGACAAAAGAGTCGAGTACTGTCAGGAAGGATTGTTGAGTCTGTTGATTAATTGAATTGAGTTTTTCATGCGAAACGAGTGTTAAATTTATAAATATAAGAAAGAAAATGTTTACACATTGCACATCTTCACATCTATGTTAATGTTTTAAAAATTTAGTATCAAAGCTCTTTTTTCTGCTTAAAAAATATAACGAGATAGCTTTAAATTTTTCAAAATTACTTCTAAAATAGTTTTAGTTAATTTAAACTAACTGCAGAACCAGAAATATAACTAACTGTAAACCATTTACGTACTGATTCAATATTTTTATTCGAATTTGTATATACTTTAATGTAGCGTATAATTATTATCTGAAAAAAGATTGAGGGGTGGAGTCAATAGTAAAGTAACCAGAAATTAAACAACGAAAAAAAAATTAAAAATAAATCTAACTAGAAATAAAATGGAAAGATGTAAGTGTTGCCACAGAGGCGCGTAATCTGCGGTAAATGGCGATATGTACTTACAGAATTTGTCCGTTTTCAGTTGGCAGTTAATTATTAGCACACGACAACGTAATATTGCAGTTTTTCACTTAATTACGAAAAACAAAAACAAAACAGACAAAAACTAAGCCTACAACAGCGATTTATTTGCACTAGCCTCGTTCATTTGTTTGTACCGTTTATAATTGTCAAGGCGGTTTATTTGTCCTTTTATGAAAATGTAAACGTAAAGAAACTCTACAGAATGTTGTGTTACGGGTTTAAATTCCGAGAAAATTTTTCAGCGAGGAAGATACATTTTAGGCATGTTTTCTTTATTGTTTTGAAACAAAACCGCTATTATTTTTCGTACTAATATGTAAAGTTCGTGTTATTAATTATTATGACTTCTCAGTTATTGACTGCTTTTTGAGTCTTGCCAATTTTTTTTTTCTTAACCATTTTTATGTGGGACCACCTTAATAGGCCCCAACTTCCCAGTGTAGGTGGGTGTGTTCTATTAACTATAAATTTTTGATATACTCAAATGAGTACAGAATATAGTTTTTAAAAAATTATAGTATACAATTAAGAAAGATTGTCCATCTGGTTCAAGACAGTGTCAAATTGTCAAAGCTGCTTGACACTTTCAAACCTTACTTTAAAATTTCTTACCAAATAAAGCAAATTTTACAAAAATTCATATAAACAAGAGAAATCACTCAAATTGTTTTTGTTCATTTACTCAATCTTAAATAAACCTGTCATATGATAGTCTGATTTTATCAATGTTACTGATGTATCAATGGTAATAAAACATCATTAATATAATTTGCATAATTTTCTAACATAGGCGTACATCTTATAAATTAAAGCTAAACATCAATTTTTTATCAATTATTTTTAGAAAGTATTTATTTTCTTTTTCATCAATTTATCTTTTGTTTAAATAAATATATTACAAATCAACAAGCCAATTTTTTTAAAGGTTAATAATCATCAAGTAATGGTTACTAAACACCACGCATTTTTCTTAAGGGTTAGTTTTAAGGATTTAAATAATAAATTAAATTATTAATAACACTATTTTTCTCACTTGTATAGCAAGATTGCTCAATGTGTCACACTTGCTCGAGAGTGCCACTCGGGCCCTTTACAGGGAGCGAGTAGGCATGATGCCCGACATAAAGATAATCCTTGAGCATGAGAGTGGGTTGTTTGGTTCCCTGTTCTGATTTTTAAGGGAAACAGGGTTGGTTTCCCCATCTGTAAATATTAAAAATATCTGCTGATTCTGCCATCGGCTCTCACAGAGTTTGAGGGCTGATGACTCCACCATATGGTAGCCCAAAAATATTTAATTAATTAAATAAAAAGAATTCTATCTTGTAAAATAATAGAATATCAATGACAACAATTAAATTTATTTATGGTTTGTATAATTTGAAAATCTCTTTCATGTAGTATCTAGTTCCTAAGTATTCCCGGAATGAAGTGACATCCAATACATCAGGTACAGGAGAATTGGTCTCTTCCTCTGGTTCATCTTCGGTTATTTTCTCCTCAAATGTTTCGACATAGTAGTTATAGACTACAATGTAGAAATATATTGAGTACATGATAGTCAGTGAGATTGTGATAAATAAAATGCCCCCTTCTCCATTTGCCATTTTAGTTATTTCGTATATGACTAAAGCGAAACTAATGAACAAGGTGACTATAACGTTTATGAGCCATACTTTAACACAGAGTTCACTCTTTTTTTTAACACCAATTACAAGTACAACACTTGTTGTGGTTTTCAATACGTCCAATAAACACAATGCCGATAATTGTATGAGCTCCCCTTTCACAGGCTTAGACAAATCAGTTATTTGCAGTTCTTCAATGACGAGTGGTACCAGATAATATGAAAATATTGTTATGTTGATAAAGCATATAGCTATTGAAGCAAATCCTATCAAAATAGTTCCTCTCTCAATGTCAAATAAATAACAGCAGGAATGAACTTTAGGAATCATATTTATCTATAATCATAAAACAATAATAATAATAAATTGCTGAAGAAAAGAAAATCTGTTTAAAATAATGTGACTAATTTTTACCATGTGTTTTAAATAGAATGATTTCTATAGTTTTTTCTAAATATATCACAGTTTTGATAAATAAACAATTTACATAATAGGTAATTAGACAAGGGTGCAACGCAGCCATCAAAATTGCAAAAATTTGTCATTTTTCAATTAAGTAGTTATTCAGATATCGTGAGATGCAGTCGGGTCACGATATCTGAATAACTATCGATTAACGGTCACTAATCCTACACACTTTTTCAATTAAGTAGAATTTAAATTTAACAATTAAATTATATTGATTTATTTTTTATTGGTTTCAGTCCCATTCATTACATTATATATAAATTAACTTTAAACACATAATTTGAGATAAAAAGCCAATGACATGGCTGGTATTCGAACCAATGAACAGTTGTTAAGACCATCGAATCCCAATCTGGGACATTAGTTTTTTTTATTATCTCAAATTTCATGTTTAAAAATTAATTAAATTATAATCACTAAAATGGAATAATTGGGTATTAAAATTTTTATGATGGGAATTTACAATTGTTAACAATCGCAGTAATAATAGGTTAAGGGGCGTCAATGCTGTCTGTCTACAGTCGCTGGTTCAGTCTGGGAGAAGCATTTTGGCAGCATTTAACTGTGTAAGTTTTTGTTTGTTTAAGACAAAAAATATTAGTTTGGCCATTTCTGAACTTTTTTTTAAATTGCTACAATGAAAACAAAAAAAATTTGAGTTGTTCAAAACACAAAACAAACCACTAAAGATTGTGAAATCCAAAACGCATCAGAAAGATCAATCAGACCAAAATTATCAGTAATGACCAAATTACAAAGCACTTATCACTGTATGTTAAAGGTTCTGGATTTGAATCCAGTGGCCCTGCATTTGAAAGCAACAAGGGTTTACACAACTTACAGCTTTTTTTCAAAAACACCAGCACTGTGGTGGGTGACAGTATCTGTTGCTGCGATCTCCATTAGATATCTAGATACCATTTTTTTTATAGATCTGCTTCATGTTTTCAATATGTGGCACTTCCAAGCTATCTTGTAAATATGTAGTATTTTCAGTTTTTGATTTTTTTCTTATCACTACAATGAACACATAAAAAAATTGAGTTGATGATTTCCTAATGTCCTGAACAGGTCCCCAGATTACGTGGTACCAAAGATCGTTTAAGAAGGCTGAAGCTTGGCCATTCTAAACATTTTGGTGTGCCGATTTTCATTATATTGGTTTGTTAGAAGCATTTCAGCTTCTCACTGTTTTCAGTAGTGATTCTGTGAACAGTTTGCCATAGTACACTGTTGCTGCTTATGGATCGTTAGAGAAGACAAAATCCATCCAACAGACCAAATCACCATGGTTAGGCACACCAAATCTTCACAATCAGCCAAAATACAACATTTTTTATATTTCAAACACAAAACAAACCACTAAAGATAAATCAGCAATAATAGGCAGACCAAAATGATCAGTAAAGACCAAATTACAAAACCAACCATCATTAACAGAATTAACAAATTAAAAGATCGTAACGAAAATAGTTTTATTAAATTAATATAACATTTAAAAGTGTCTAATAAAATAACAATTTTTTTAAAACAATGATTGAAAGTATTTTTTTTAAATACTCTCACTGGTATTGATTTTGGCACTAATTAGTACTTGTCATAAACTTCGTAAGACATGTAATTTATTCTTTAGCGGCAAATTTAACAATTGGCATGTTTTTCCCAACGTTTTGACCAGCTTGAAATAGGACTGACTCCACTGTTCCGTCCATCTCAGCTTTGATTACATGCTAAAACAAATTTAATGTAATTATTGCTGTTTTTCAGGTATCAATGTAATTAAATGTTACTTACTTCCATTTTCATAGCGATTACAACAGCAACAGGATCCCCTTTCTTTACAGTGTCTCCATTTTTAACAATTATCTTTTCAACAACGCCCGGCATTGGTGAAACAGCCTGTGAGAGTGAGCCTTCGCTTTGAGAAAAATCCCCTCCACCTAAATCTTCTGACTTCATTCCAATTTTAAAATTGCCATCCTACAAAAATGAAAAGGCATGAATTTGAACTGTGTGAATTAAAAATAATAATAATAATGAAAAACCTTGCAAAATAGAAATAAATCATCTTTGCTGTGTCCTATCTTCATAGAAGAGACATCCTGAGGAGTCCAAAATGTAACATATGAAAAACCATCTTTTGTTTCAATCTTGCCCTTAACTTTAACTTCAGGACTATCGTTTACTTTTGCTTTCATCCACTCAGAATTAATATCAGACTTAATAACAACATTATACTCTGAAACAATGTATTAGTGTAATAAACTGTATTCAAGATTATTTCAATATTTTACCTTTTTCTTGATATAGCAATTTCACAACACGTGTATGTTCATGGTTAAGTCTAAAGGGACCTTCAAGAGAAAAGGGATTGAATTTATCCACTGACTTAAAAGCCATTTCTTTTGTTCTTGCTATTTCTCTTAGAATAACACTCAAAGCTGCCTATAAAATGTATTGTTCCATTTAACTTCAATATTAAAAATTAAAATTGAAAATTTACCTTAATGACAACTATATCATTCGGGGGAGTGGGCATAAGGCTGTTTTTATGTTCATCTATAAAGCCAGTATGGACATTTCCTTTGATTAGGTCATTATGAAGGCAAAGCCTCCGTAAAAAATCAACGTTATTTTCTACCCCGACAATCTAAAAAATTAAATCAAGTTAAAAATTATATTCATATCTTAGCTGAAAATATCTAACTGACATTGAATTCACCCAGTGCTGACACCATTTTAGAAAGTGACGTTTCTTCTTGAGGTGACCACACGACTAATTTAGCTATCATTGGATCATAATGAACAGATACGTCGTCTCCTGAGGTAACACCTGGGTGAACATAATAAAAATTGTTTAAATCTCAATAATGACAGAAGTTCTGAAAAATTGGAAATTAAAAATCTAAACTCACCAGTTTCAACCCGAATATTTTCCCCAGAAGGGGTCGACATAAGGTCGAGGTGTCCTGCAGTAGGTAGAAAACCGCCAAGGATGTCTTCAGCATAAATCCTAGCTTCCACTGAACTGCCTTTTAATGTGATTTCTTCTTGCCTGAGAGGAATTTTTTCACCGCTTGCCACTCTCAGCTGCCATTCAACCAGATCAACACCTGTTATCATTTCAGTGATTGGGTGCTCTACCTGGAAGAGGAAAAGATTCCGAAACTTATTTCAATGAATATTTATTAAAACACACCTGCAATCTAGTATTCATCTCCATAAAGTAAAATTTATTTTCATTTGTGTCAAAAATAAATTCAACAGTTCCTGCTCCAACATAATTTACAGCTCTTGCAGCTCGGACACCAGCTTCTCCAAGTTCCAGTCTTAATTTGTTGTCAACACCCGGCTAAAAGAAGATAATCTTGAAATAACACAATGCAACATTGAACTTAAGGTCAAGTTGTGTTTAGTTACTGCAGGAGCTTGTTCTATGACTTTCTGATGTCTTCTTTGTACACTACAATCTCTTTCAAAAAGGTGTACATAATTCCCGTGTTTGTCTCCAAAAACTTGAACCTCCACATGCCTAGGCCTGCCAATATATTTTTCAAGTAGGACATTATCATCATTAAACGCCCTCAGAGATTCTCTTTTGGCAGATTCCAAAGCAGCTTGAAAATCTTCTTTTGTGTGTGCTATTCTCATCCCCTAGAAAGATTAAATTTTAACCCACAATTATAAAACAGGATAGAAACTATTTTCACCTTTCCTCCTCCTCCTCTCACAGCTTTTATCATGACAGGAAACCCTATTTCATTTGCTTTCTCTTCAAGGAAGTGTATATCCTGATTATCTCCATGATACCCTGGGACAGTGGCAACTCCCGCAGCCTCCATAATAGATTTAGAAGTGCTAAAATAAATTAATTATTTTTCAGTAACAAGAAGAAAACTAGAATGAAGTTACCTTTTGATACCCATATCTCTAATAGCTGAAGAGGGGGGTCCTATGAATATAATACCTTCTTTTTGACATAGTTCAGCAAATTCGACATTTTCAGATAAAAACCCATATCCTGGGTGAATTCCAAGGGCATTTGCTTGTTTAGCAACATCTATGATTTTGTCCCCTGAAATTAATTAATTTTACTTTATCCTATGGACGGTGAAGATGTTAAAGAAGAAAAATATTTTTAGTCAATTGTTAACAGCAATACATACACATTCCAAAAGTGTCCGCTTGCAAAACAATAAAACAAACAAAATTTTAAAAAAAATGAAAACATTTTATTCCTTTATAGCAAAAACTTTGAAATATCTTTTTAACACTAACTGTTACTCTTTGATCAATGTGGACATGAAATGAAACCACAAAGGTACATGAAACATTTGCTTTCATCCTATATAGAAAATTTTAAATAAAAATTCCAAACAAGTAATAATGTACAAAATTTATAATTGTTGGAGTCTATAAAGGGATATAGTGTAGTTTTAAATTAAGAAATTGGCAATACAGGTCTGTTTCATTAAATGCTCTAATCACATATGTAAACATTTGACTAAATATTATACAAGAGAGAAAATTCAAAAGGTGGGGAAGTAGTGTCCGAGTGGATCGAAGTCACGATAGCTCAAGTGGTAGAGCAGCAGCGTATTTAGCCAAAGGTCATGGGTTCACTGACTTTTTTATCTCAACAAAAACCTTAATTAAAAATTAATTAATTGAAAAGAATTTATTTTGTCAAGTGGACCATGAAACCTAATATTATACAAGGTTGCAAGTTTTGCTTACCTCTCAGATAGCTTTCCTGTGCCTGAGGTGGACCGATGTAAAATGCTTCATCTGCCTTTAACATTAAAAAAATATAAGTACTGATTTTGTAAGGAAGGATGATGACTGTTTCATTAAAAGATGTACATATATTTTTTTAAGACAGCCAAGCAGCACTATAGGCTTTTTACACTTCACCTTCAACTAAAAGAAAAAAGAAAATTGAACCAGCTCCTAGGGAAACGAAATTGGGTAATTCTGATCTGGGTGCCAGGACAAAAGAGGACTGAAGGCAACAAAAAGGCTGACAAACTAGCAAAAACAGGAGCATCGCTTACACCTGTTGGACAAAAACTGCAAACTGGTATGCTCCAAATCATTGGACTGAACAAATGGATTGAGAAACACTAAATGAAATCATCAGGTGAAAAATAATAAAAAAAGTTCCTCAACTTCTCCATCAGGAAGCCAAAAATCTACCTCTCTCAGCTGATGAAAATTAAGGAAAATAATGCCCTTTAAAAGAGAAAAAACTTCCTACTCTGTCATGAAACAGCAGAGAAATCAGAACATATCCCGTGTGAGGCATGAGTCTGTAAACGATAAAGCTACTTTGAAAGGCAACACTAATGCCTAGAGAAATAAGCGAAGAGGAACCGGTGCTCAACTACCTCAAAGGTAATAGTATGTTTTGGGGTATGGAAATAAAGAAGGGTCAATTCCACAATACATATTTAAGGTCGCAGTGGAAGAAAGTCACCAGTCACCCTAGAAAATAAAAAATGTAATACATATTAAACAGTGTGACATGCTACTTGCTTAACAAACTTTGCCAGTGAATTTCACACAACCAATGACAAAAAAAGCTCGTATGGATGGTCTCATTCTCAACCCTTTTGCAGATATTTAACTCTGTTATTTCAACTACCTACAGTTTTTGTCTTATATCTACTCGTAGCTCATTCTTTTTTTTCTTTTTTTTTGGGGGGGGGAGCATTGAAAAGAGCATTAAATTTCCTTTAAGAAGACCCCATTCTACATCTTTCAATTTAACTTTTGGTTAAAAAAAAATTTCCTGAAAGCTGATAAATTTAAATTTGTAAAAAAAAAACTATTGCAACCTCATTGCAAAAATTCAAGGAGTGCTTGTCAACTTTCAAAAAAATTCTTCATTTAATAAGCTTTCTAGCGGAATACCCTTTTCTTAAATTACATTGAACCAAAATGCAGAAATTTTATGCTAAATGGGAAAAAGTAGCAAGGGCATGAAAAAGGATGAATGGGGTTAATGTATCACAAAAATGAAAGAAAACACATAAAAAAAGCGACAATGAACATAGCGAACAACCAAAGCATAAAAATTGGATAAAATATTAACACTAAGATGTACACACCAATTAAACCTATAAAAAGCATAAAGAAAAGAAAATTTGGTTGTTCATGATGGCTATTGTCTTTTGCTGAATTTTTCTTGTAAATTTAGCAGTTTTTGAAAGATTTAGTGTGCTTTTTGACTAAAACTTAAATTACAGTTACATAAGAATTAATAATTACACTATTTATAAGTTATTATTATAATGTATATAAATTTTAAGTTCCTATTTTAATCAATTGCCTACTTAAATACAAACCCATTCACAATCACGCTCATTCCTAAATACATTCTTTCTTAGTTACATACCATTCACTCAGGGTGGTGGAGTATTTAAGGATATTCCCCAAACATCCCTTTTCCCCTTGTACTTGTGTACAACTAGCAATCTACGTATTTTGGTAATGACCACCACCAATCTGCAGTCTGGGGAACATCTTCAACAGAGCAGACTGGGAGAAAGGGATCCCAGTTAATGCCGACCATATCTGGTTTACAAAACCGAATATGGTCCAGGAGCTAGCATTTATGTAAATAAACCAAGGATTAAAATTCATATAAGACTTGGATAATATGATACCATTTTTCAAGTGAAAACCGTGTCTATTGAACATTGTGGCAGGGAGATCAAACGGCTGGGCATCATCAATAGAAGAATAGCCATCTACTCAGACAGTAGGCATCACTGAAGGCAATTGCCGCATCAATGGTAAAATCCAGAGTTGTTTGGTACTGCATTAGAGCCCTATCAGACATTTCAGAAAATAACAAAGCTAGGACACACAAGCAAAGGGGTAACACAAGGCCAATAAATTGGGCAAGGAAAGTTCAAAGACATCTATTGGCACTGGACCCTTTTGTGGCATACTAAACTGCCAAAAACGTGGATCCATTAGACAATGGATTAATAACAAGTCCTCTGTTCAATGGGAATCTAGCCCAGGACAAAGGCATGTAAAAAACTTTATCAAAGGACCACTCGCAACAAACTAACGTCAGAACTACTAAATCTAGGACATGCTAGGACTAGAATAATAGTTGAACTGCTAACCGGACACTGCAGACTCCGGAGGCATATATATAGTCTTGGATTGGCAGAAACTGGTCGTGGTGCACAGACTGGAAAGAAGCTGACTGATAAATTGCCCATGGAAAGTTCAATGAGGACAGCTATGGGCCCTTCTATGGCTTATCAAACTGCCAAAAACGAAATCCATTAGACAATGGATTAATAATAAATCTGCCGCTCAATGGGAATGTAGCCATGCGAAAAAGTTTACCAAAGGACCATCATAGACACTAACGCAGAAATACTAAATCTAGGAACAAAAAGAAAGCTATTTGACTCAGTTGTCGCTGCATCTGCTTACTATGCCGCTGAACTTTGGGCGGTGGCGTAGTTGGAGGGTTTGGACAAATTGCAAATAAGGTATTATAAACAGCTGTTCAATTTGCCCCGCAACACGCCTGATCATTATATAAAAATTGAGTTTGGTCTTGAAACTACTAGCACCAAAATTTTGATTAGGGTCATAAACTGGCTAAGTAAAGTGTTAGCTTCAGATAAAAAATCCCTTCTGAAGAGATCATTTGAATCTGTTTTGTTCGCAACAAACTTCTCTCGTAAAGAATATTGCAATGGTAACTGGCTTGTTCATTTATGGCAATGGAATATTGGCTCGTTTGGGTTAAGAACCTTCCCTTTTTTTTTTCGTGATGTAAGTGTGGTGGCGAAGCACAAAAGGGACATTATAGAGCGTTGGGAGAGTAATCTCTATTCAATTAACATCGACCGATGCATTGGCTCCGTCTTCAACCCCTTCATATGTATAAACTCGGAATGGCAGAAACAAGCCTGTGCAAATATTGCCAAGAAGAAGAAGAAACGGCGGAACTCGTCCTCTATTGGCCCAAAGTCCTATATAGGCTGAAATTCCTAATCCTAGAGAGGAAAAGCCAGGGCCTAAAGGACATACGCAGGAACTCTTGAAAAATCTTTGGCGACTAGTAAAAAGCCTCAAGCTTAATGAGATGTTATTGATTAAAAAAAATGGAGATGTACAATAGACCAATACTAGTCGCGGTGCACAGGTCGTAAAGAGGCCAACTCCTATATAATCTAAACTACATGCAGTAAAAGAGTCCCGATACTCCCAAAAATCGAAACAGGGGACCCAAATACTCGTTGCTTTATCATATCATAAGGCATTCATACATGAAGAGCCAAGGAATTGCACCCTTGAACTAAGTGGGACACATCCAGCAACCTTTCTCTACATGCTAGTCACACACAATTTTGGCCCAAAAGTATGTGTCCGTGTGACAACCTCACATGGCCTATTCTTGATCGGGTGAGGATGATCCCTCTTCTACATGTCAGATCTTGATGGCTTCAATTAAGTGTGACACATAAGGAATTTTTATCTACATGCTAGACACACATGCCGGCTTTTCTCAGAGCGAAAGAAATAGAAAAACATTCTGTAGTTTTAATTTTAGTTCCTCCCAAAAGCTATGTGACAAAAAATATTAAATGTTGCATATTTTAAACAATACAATACTTGTTTGAACATGTTTATGTATAGTTATATTATAAAAAAATGCGTTATTTTAATCAAAACATTGTTTATCGTCCTTTTGAAATTAGTTATTTATTTGAAACAATAATTTTTTAAATATTTGAAAATCCATTAATTAATTATTGATTCTTCGTTTTACTGGTTCGCTTTCTAATTCGGTTACGTAAGCTAAAAAGGATCAAGAAGTCAAGGCCGTTCTGGTTCTGCCAGATCAAACAGGTTGTTCCCCCTCGGATTTTTTTTTTACAATTTTGTATGATTAAACCAAAAATTATTTTTTCACTTTTTTCAATGGATTTTTGTCGAAAATTAAAATTATTTACCATTTTGACATGAAGAGAATCGACATCGGCATCGCTGAAAACGGCCACAGTTCGAATCCCAAGCCTTTTAGCGGTCCTCATCACCCTGCACGCTATTTCACCCCTGTTCGCGATTAAAATTTTTTTCATCATGCTTAAACTTTTGACAGACATTTCGACGTTAGTAATAAAAAAGTTCACTAAATAAAAATAAATAAAAGCTCTGTTGTGAGGGGTTGAAATCCGATTAAACGATGTTATCAACTGCCAGGATCAACCTTATGATCTTCCTGGAAGGTTAAACCTTATCTACAGACAGGAATTTCTCCACTTTGCAACTGTGATCAGGTTATAAACACGTCATCGAGGTTTTAAAAGTTCAAACCGTTAAAAGAAAAATGATCTTTGGGTATTATTGATCTTATTTTATTTGTAAATATTTTAATTTATTGCCTAGGATGGATGTGACGGCAAATTTTAAAAGCTGTGTACAAGCGAAGAGAGAAGTAGACAAGTTCATGGGTGTCAAGAGAAAACCAGACATCCTCAAGAACAAAAGAGGCTCAGAGTATATAAGAAAGTTTAAAAACCTTTTATCCGAGATATCTAGCTTGAGAGATTTTCTACTCGAGCACAGAAAGGCGTACCTGAACCTTTCGCCTGAGTTTGTCAAGTCGGATCAAATGAGTGAAGTCGAGAGGGACAAAATTGACTTCGGAGCGCAAAAAATCATCCAGACATGCTCTCAAATGTTGATGTCATTTAAAAAAGAACTTTACAACATGGATGAGAACCAGGAGGTAGAAAACAACAAGGCTATCGTCGACCTGCTTGGAGACTATCTCAAGTCGGTATGTAAGATTTACACCGAACAGAAGGCCATTCGAGTTAAGTGGACGATCGAGGTTGAAAAGCTCTCCAAGCTGGAAGATAAAGTTCAGAGTAGGAACGAGGCTACGAGCAACCGGGAAGACAATTGGGTCCTTAAGGAGGACATGGTCAAGCTGAAAGACAGGTCCAACGAGCCTCGAATCGCCCCTTCTGATTATGCCTTCCAAGAGGATGACAATCCCCTGTCAGAAGAGGAGCTTCAAATGTTTGAAATGGAAAATCAACAACTTTACAGTGACCTCAACAGTCTAAACGATGAGGTATTCCCTCCCATAATATATATTCTACCTTATTATTTATTGCAATTAATTATTCTTTTTATCTGTCTTGGTAGAGATGAAAAAGTTAGTGTCACGAGCAGGATTCGAACCCACAAGATTCAGCTAAAGAGATGAGTTTGTGTCTAAGTAGATCAAAGTCATGAAAGCTCCAGTGGCGTATTTACCAGAAGTTCATAGGTTCGAATCCCACTTGTGACACTAAATTGTTCATCTCAACCAAGACCTTAGATAAAAAGAATAATTAATTGAAATAATTAGTATGGTTGATTATGACAGCTAAACATATATGGATTATTATTTATTTATCTCTTGTCTTGGCCTGAGATTTCAATATTCTCCCTCCTGGATAGCAAAAATTTCTAATTCCTATAAATGCTTGGCTCTTTATATTAATAAACAAATATTATTGGCTAATGACTAGTGCTATGATGAAAAGAAATGTGTTGTGTTTTTTGCCGTAAAATTGTGGGGTATGTATGGTGATTAGTGGCCGTTAGTTGAGGATTATTCAAAAATCGTGAGATGACCAGACCACATCTCACGATTTTTGAATAATTATGGGGTATCAACACGACCAAATAAGATTGATACTTATTTATTTCAATTAATTATTATTTTTATATAACGTCTTGGTTGAGATGAAAAAGTTAGTTTCATGAGCGGGATTCGAATCCACAACCTTCAGCTCTGAGTAGATCGAAGTCATAGCTCAAGTGGTCAGAGCAGCGACATATTAGCCGAAGGTCGTCGGTTCGAATCCCACTTGTGACACTAACTTTTTCATCTCAATCAAGACCTTACATTAAAAGATTAATTAATTGAAGTAATTGGTCAGTTAGACCACTAAACATAAACGGATAATATTGAAAATTATGATGCTTCATGACCTGCATTAGGACTCTGAATTCATGCAGGTCCCCAAACTGAATATGTTAACGCATGTATGGTTATATTAAAAGTAATTATGTTGTAGGTAATAAATTCGAAATGTTCTAAGGCTAGTAAGGATGCCACTGCACTTTTTTACATGGTGTTATGCGATTTGGTCTGCACATAGGGTGAGGGCCATCTGCATCAACTCTTTGAGCGGTTACTGCTGTCTGGAACAGGTCCTTCATGAGCCCTTTCATAGCACTCTTGCTGGAGAAATACTCTGAACTTTAGCGTCGGCAAAATGGTCTAGACACATAGATCTGTCTGAAGAATAATGAAAAAGCGTACGAGTTGGCTAAGGCTATGACGTCCCAACCTCCAGATCTAATCACCATGATCGGTCTCTAAAGCTAAAAATATGATGAAAAGGAAATAGCAATGCCAGTGGGTTGGATCGGCAGAGAAGCCATTTCATATCAAGAGTATGATTGATGGATGGGGGTGTAGGATCTGAATCGCAGAAGAGCGGTCATCCTCAACTGGTTAAGAATAAGCCATCTGAAGTTGACACTTGAACACTTACTTTTGGGCCGTGTATGTGGCCCACATAATTGAAGGGTGTCATTCCTTGACTCCATATAGGAATGCAACCCGATATGGGAATTTTACCCAAGCCCAGCCCAGTGTGTCTTGTCTTTTGGTTTTTGAGAAAATACTCTTGTTTTGTGCTGCATTTTTGAGTATATTGAAAATGAATGTATTTATTACCATAAATGTGTAGTGTGATAGGGCTGGATGAATAATAAATCAGTTAGCCTCAATATGATTAGTTATATAATTTCTATAAAAGGTGATGGAGAACTCGACCTACTTGTGTGAATGGGTTGTAATGAGGAAAAAATGTATTCAGAATAAGTGAAAGTGAGGGTATCTAGGTTTAAAAACTGTACGTTAATTGTATGACATGCATATATATATTTTGTATATTATTGATTTACTGGTTAATAGTTTCCACAACGACAAAAAATAAAAAATCTGCATATGTTGGGGGCTAAAATGACCTAGCTAATGACAGCCCCTGAACCCAATCTGTGGCACATCTGGCCTCGTACTGCCAAAATCTGAAGTGGGTGATTCTTACACCCTATATGCATATTTACAAACAACAGAACAATAATTATTATCGACACAGATTCCAAATGATTTGCCAATCTAGCTCACAGCATAAAAAAAATTATGCTTATTGATTCTTTCTCTTAAGGTGAGTTTACAAATGAGCTTTTTTTTCTCTCGAGAGTGATAGATATACTCTTGAGGATAAAACTCGCAAATGTAAAGGCCTCTGAGAGTTCTCACCAAAAGCCAAGAACTCTCCATGGGGTGCAATGTTGCATCTTCCTCGCTAGTGTTTTCCCCCACGCTCTTGGAGAGTACTCTCAATCATTAAAAAAAATTGAATTTGCTGAGAGTAAAACCCCAAATCCAATTTAAAAAAATGAATCCACGAGGATGTTTAGAAGCATATGAATTGAATCCAATCCTTTTGGGACACCCATAACCCAGATTTTAAAAATAAGAGTTAGAAAAACCTCATGATGGAGAAATTAGGGACAGACTTCAATAGTCCGGTCCCTGAAATTAATCATAAGGCAACCATAAACGCTCATGAACAGAATTGCTTCTCTCGTTGTAGTGCCTTTTTTTTTAAATTATATAGGCTCACTAATTCTACTAGCAATTCAATACTTGAAAATCTGTAAAAATTCTTAAATTGTTGAGCGTCTTCAAGTTCCAATTCCTGTGCTACAGCATGGTACTCGCCTAAACATTAACTCATTTGTATCCATGATGACCCACTTTTTTGTTTTCGATAAATACAAAACTTATAATACTGCTTCCACTTCTCCTTTTTGTGTTGAAGACATCTTGTCTAAAAATTACTCTCAGAACTGTCCATTGTGTGTGTAAATGGTCTATAGCGGACTCGCGAGAGTTGCTCTCCTATAGTGAATTTCACTCTCCCATTTAAAGGGCTCTGAGAGTAATGCTTTAGAATTTAACACCCCCTTAGAATTTAAATTATTTTCTGCTAAGTTCACAGTTTGATTAATATTCCTAAAGTTAATTAATTTTGTTTTAGGTCAAAGCAATCCAGAGTAATGTCGTGAAAATAGCTGAACTGCAAGAGGTGTTCACAGATAAAGTTCTAGAGCAGAATGAGGAGATAGAAAGGATATCGACAACGCTGGTCGGTACAACGGAGAATGTAAAAGATGCCAATGTACAAATACGACAAGCAATTCAGAACAATGCTAGTTTTAGGATTTATGTGTTGATTTTTATTTTAGTCATGTCTTTTTCATTGCTTTTTCTAGATTGGTATAATGATTAGTGTTGATTTAAAAGTATTTGTATAAAGTAATATATATAAGTAAAAGTTTAATATAAAAATGGTGTACTTTTTTTTATTGAATCAACACTAAACAAAATCACCTCATTCTATCTATGAACCAATGGTCCATTCTCAGCTTAACATGAGAGATATGATCCTTGGCAAATTTGACATGTACTTAAGCAACCATTAGTTATTTTTCTGCTTCTACTCGGAATATTTCCAGAAGTTCTTTATTTGTCAAAGGCTGCACATCAAGCCTTGTTCATATAAATGATGGAGTATGTTGTTCGATCTTTATAAAAACATAGTTCCTATTCACAGTTAGTTGTTTTCAACCATCCAGATTTCAAGCTTATAGGCCGTCGTAAGTTGAAGGAATTTACAACCTTATGAGCTATAAACTTGAAATCCGGATGGTTGAAAACAACTGCCAGTGGGAACTATCTTTTTATAAAGATTCAAACCATTTTCTTCCATGGATTTGTAAGGTGGTTGTTAATTTTGTTTATGAAAACATTACCACATGCAACAATTTGCCCCAAAATAAATAAAGTTTATTAATTTTTGTTTTGAAGTTATTTCCTAAGTTTTTTATTTAGAAAAAAAGAACAGATGTTGAAATTAAATTATCAGTAAACAATTGGTTTATTATAGAGGCAATCATACATGAACAGATATAAACTCTTATTATAATTCATTATTTTCATGGTCTGCTTGACCAATTAATACTTTACAATTAAGGTTTTTAGTTGAGATGAAAAAAAGTCAATGGCACGAGAGGGATTCGAACCCACGACCTTATTATATTTGTAATAATCACTAAGATTAGAATAAAAATAAAAATTTCCTTTTTTTATATAAACCTCTTACTGCTAGTATTGTAAATTTAAAACTAAAAAAATTTCCTTTTTACAGTAAAAAATTAATTTAAAAAATAAACTAATTCTTTCACCATCCAAAAATAATTATAAATCAAAATTTAATTTTCTATTTAATTAACAAACAAAAAAATATTTCCTTCTTGTGAATAGGTACTTTTTATGGCTCACCGTTGATAAATGTGTCTCATTTTTTGGGAGATGTTCGCAGTACCGTGTTCAGCATAGGACTGCCCTCCTCTTCTTTTTCTTTGTTGATCTTGTACAGCAGCGTTGCTTGACAATGATGTTACAAAACATTTTCTTCACTATTCAATTAAGGATTTTTGGTTGAGATGAAAAAGTCAGTGTCACGAGCGGGATTCAAACCCACGACCCTCGGCTAGATACGCCGCTGCTCTACCACTTGAGCTATTGTGACTTCGAACTTGAAGTGGTAGAGCAGCAGCGTATCAACCGAGGGTCATCTGTTTGTTTGAATCCCATTCGTGACTTTTTCATCTCAACCAAAAATCCTTTATTAATTGAAAGATGTTAATTGGTCAAGCAAACCACGAAATTAGTGAATTCTTCACTATATTAACCAGCTGTGATACCATTAACTTAATTGGGAAAAAATATTTTCTTCACTTCATGTCAACTGCGGCCTTGGTGTATTTTAAACCTTCCACCGCTCCATATTTTAATAAGAAACCGGAGCAGTGGTCCGCAGGCTCATAAATGGACAACCGTCTACAGGATGCCCATGTCAACAAACATTGAAAACAAACAGGAGATACAGGCAAAGTACTCCAAAATAAAACTTCACCTACAAGTACAAAGTATACCAGAATTGGAAGAGTGGGCCAAAGGAATATCTCTCAGGCGTTCCTACTGGTATATTGACAGCTCAAAAACAAATAGAGGCACGTTAGTAAGAGTCCTCTGGATGAAACCGAAGACCAAACTGACTTTAAACTTAAGTAAATATCCTAGTTCCAGAAATTCTAATAGCAATTGAACACTGCACTATTGAAATAAAAACGTTCCAGAAAGATAGCCATTTTTTCCAACAAACGAGCGACACTTAAGGCTTTAACATTATGCGAGATAAAAGCAAAAAGCATGTGTAATTGAAATGAATTGCGAGATAAAAGCAAAAAGCATGTGTAATTGAAATGAATTTATTATGTGGTCATGAAAAATGGATGTTACTGTAATAGCTTAAATCAATCCACTTGTAATATAAAATTTTAAACGTTCTCTTATTAAAACTATGTTACATTAGTTTATTTATGATTGAAACAATTATTGCTTTGTCGTGTATTTCATTGAGTTTCACTCTTAGTTTGATATATCTAGGAAGGATTTATTGGTTATCTACCTACTCTTATCATATGGCGTTATAATTGTTCTTCAATCAAATTACTTGGATCTACAGTTTTAAATTGACGATAACCATTGAATGGTTGAAAATGTCTTTCATTTGAGGGTTAACAATTGTTTAGAAACTGTCAGAGTCAAGTGAATAGGTTGTCTTTTTTATAAACAAAAATTACATATAATTAAGAGGAATATAATATAAATAATGCATAATATTTTTTTTATTTTATACTTACAAATTAAATTATACAAGTTTAGTTCTTTTTAAAAATGTGCAACATGCACATTTTTACAATAAAAAATCTTTTAACAAATAATTCTTGCTGAGAAGAAAATAAAAAGACGAAAACAAATATTGTACTTGGTAAGAGAAAAAACATCTTCACATATTTGCACAAAAACCATACTAGATCCATTTAAATAGAGTAATATACATAATAGGAGTGCTATACAACCAGCTTAATTATGTATTATCTTTTTATTCGATACGAGACAAAGTTTTTAGAAAACTACACAATGAAAGGAATAACGTTCCACTTTTTAATATATATTTTTTTATGGATATTAATCTTGGTATATCCAATCAAAACAATATACATGATATTACATAAAAAACTATTTTTGTTAAGCTTTACAACTTAGGGTCAACTTTGTCAAACGTCCTGACAACACAGACGGTGACTATTATCCATTTGCCAGTCATCTCAAAACAAAACTATAAATGCTAAACATGTGCTAAGGATGTAAAAATCATACTTCATGAAAGGAAATTTATGAAATGATGCCTCTCAAGGGTGACTTTCTGGGAAGAAGGATCTTAGCATCAATTTTTCTCATTTACTTTGCTACAGTTTCCATTGAGACATCACTTTCTCCATCTTTTTTGTCTTTTTTACCATCACCCGCTAAAATTACGACAACAAATAAATTAATCAAAATGTCTATTGTTCTGACAAACAGACAATACCTTCAGAGTCGTTGGTTTCTCCAGCGCTGTGATCCCTACGTCTTTTCCTGTTAAATCTTTGAACTCCACCATGACGATTGCCCCCAGTGTGTTTGGGAGGGGGAATTGCGGCCATACCAAGAACTTTATGGATCTGACGGAAAGCCATAAGTCTCAAGGCATGCTGGAAACAAACAATTGGTCAACATTTCTTGAAGATAACACTGAAAATAAGATTTCATTTGTAGTACACATGCCTGGGCTGAGGCTGTGATGTCGGCCCTTTGTTGAATTGTTAGGTGAGATGTGGCGTCTGTCGGTTCCCTTTCACAAGGATCAGAAATTCCGCAAGAGCCGGGTAATAAAACTCCTCCCGCAATTGCTTCCAAGACTTTCCTCAAAGCCTCAGCTACAGAAAGGGCAGCACAGCCAACTACCTTATCTACCAATAGCTCAATTCCCTAAATAATAAAATTAATATAAAATTTCTTTTGAAATGCACGTTAATTTGTACAATGAGTTTTTAATTCACCGCAAACTGTCACAATTAGACATTCATACTTATATAATTAAAACAGATAAATAATTTCATCAGGCTAACACTGAAAAAACTAATTTATTAGGTTTGTTCCAACACGCAATCACAAACTGGTTGCCAACTAATTTGCAATTTATTGCCTGATCACAGATTTCTTAACTCTATTGGAACGCTTTTTCCTATCTCGGACTACTATGATCAAATGGTACGTTTCATACAGTTTGTAAGGTTGCTGCTTTCACACTTCTTGATCAGAACCCAGAGAACAAATTCAGTCTGCCTATTGTCTTTCTATAGGACGTCTTCTATTAGTCTCACAAAATTCAGACTGATCCGCGCTACCAATGCCCAGATATTTATAAGGGCATTTTAGACTCTATGTATGTAATGGGGAAACGAATAGAAGGTCCATGGGTTGCACTTGACAAAAGAGTAATCCTGCGTTTGTTGAAGCGCACCAAACTGGCTCAAATCCAAGAATGTTAGCGCCTTGTGTCAAAGAAGCAACCTTAATTCCTGGTTATTCACGGCAATTACAAACCTTGGTTACGCTAGTCTACCCTTTCATATTTCAAGAATATTGCATAATTGAAGAATATTCCCAATTTGAAATTTTTATTATTATTTCACTTGATTACATTATTTTATGACAAAATAAAATTTTCTTGAAATAATCGGCATCTTATTTCCAAAACTCCCGAATTTGTTTGCCATTCCTAAAATTTTCCAGAAGTAGTCAGAAAAAATAGGAAATTTGCCTAACTGATAATTATCTAACCCATTTCCTTTCAAAATTATTATTATTTAAAATTTAATTATTAAATTTTAATTTGATTAAATTGTTAATTAATTAAAATTTAATAATTTTAATTTGATTAAATTGCTAATTAATTTAAAATTTAATTTTAAAAATTATTATTATATCTCTGACGTTCATCTTTGGCATAATTTTTATAGCAAGATTTTTTTTTTATTGCAAGATTCAGAATCTAGTTGTAAGGACTTTCGGATCTGACGTGAGCAAAAGCACAGGGAAGCATCTACACATCTGATTGCTGGTCTATAGCAAAATCCTCGGACTGTTTTGACTATCAAAAACCCTTTGTAAACTTGGCCCCAAGGTGTGGGAACGGCCTGACAGTTTGAGTTTGCATTTGATGCATGTTGGAATACCCCAATTTAATTGTGCATGCTGTTTGGACGAGTGATGGAACAACAGCCTATTAATGTCCACATTTTAAAGGTGGCATTTTATATGACATACAATGAACAAAACAAATAAAAATTTCAACCTGTTCGACAGTTCGAACCTCTTTGACAATGTAAAAGTTATTATTTTTACCCATTGGCTGAGTGGTGCCCACGTTGGATTTCTGTGACATAAATCTCGTAGGATGCGTATAACAAGAACACTGCTGTGATTGTTAGCTGGTCTAGCCTAAGGATTGAAAATCAATTAGATAATTGCACTAGGTTGATTATATTGGATGTACAAGATGACATATCTTGATGGAATTTAATTGTAACCTAATTTCTACTTTGTGCAAAAAAATAAAAAAATAAATACAAAGTTGATTTAAGAAGTTAGTACATCTAAAACATGCCTCTTGTACATACAATCGGTCGTTTCATCAATTGTTTGGAAAAAAATCAAACATGAGAAAATGAAAACAAGATATCCATACAGGCATCGACCTTTCCAGCTGGTGTTTGAATAATAAAAATAAAATAATGAAGCAAAGTTCAACTGCTGTAATGTAATAATTATTTTCTTGCTGGAAAGTCTGTAATGGAAATCGCTACTTATGTTTTAAAAACTTTTTTTTCTGTCAACATTGGTTTTTTTTTTACTCTATCAATGCCCTTACAAAATAGATTGCCCAAAGAGGAGTAAAAGGAAAAGGAATAATATAAGGGCAGTGTTTGTGGGGGGAAAATTATTAATTACTTCGACAGTTCTCTGATATAATCTAAAATAAGAGGAAAACAGAACTAACTAGAATTAGGTAAAAATTAAATAGTGCATAAAATTAGCACATTCTAATATTTGAAAAGATTCTGGTTAAACAGCACTTATTTCTACACTAATCAAAAATTCATCTTTTAACTTTGTAATAAATATTTTAATAAAGTATATTTTAAAAACTTAACTATTGTTCTAACAAACCATAAATATGAGGGGAACCAGAGGATAAACAGATGGAATTGTCAATGTTGTTCTGGTTTTATACGGTCTGTGGGAAAATTGAAAAAATTCTATATTGAGAACGATTGTAAATCTTTAAAAGCTCTACGGACCATTAACTTCAATTAAATAGTAATAATCACAATGATCAACTGATGGAACAAATTTCATGACATAAATATATTTGTCATTTTTCAGCAGTTTATCTTTACAATCCTTGTCCAATTATTCTGAAATTCATGTGAACAAAATAAAATAAACAGCAAGAAAAGGAGAAATCAGTCTATAAGACTACTGCTGACGAGTAACATCAGAAATAGTTGGATTGCTCTTTTTTTTAATACAGTGAAACCCTTCCGTAACAAGCACGTAAGAAAGAAATGTTTTTTCCTATTATTGAGGGGTACCCTTCAGAAGAGGTTTAAAATAGATTGTTTTTAATCAAGTTAAATGTTGTATTTTATATATTTCTAGGAACCTTATAATTAAATTTTAAAAATATGCATTACATTTACTTGTTTAGTTATAATAAATAATAATAAAATGATTTTAGTCTGTTTTTTACACTTGGATTTCATCCTTGTGATGAGTTCTTAATTCGTTCACCATGACAATTAATTTTTTCATCTTTATAAAACTCAAGCATACAAAATAGCTTGTTTTATTTCATATAAGTCGCAGTAAGAAGTGGAGTAACTTAAATACAGTTGAGACTTGAGAGTTAAAAAGTGCCCATGCACCATTTGGATAATAACAGACCAAATAAATAAGGTAACAATCCTAATTTTACAACTAGAGTGAACCATGTGACACTTGAGTGAGTGAGCAAAGGTACATTTTCGGTTCCCCAAAGAAAGAAAAGCTCTCGCATAAGAAACATAACGTATAAAGATGAAGTAGTTTCCACAAAAATATGGGGGAAAGAGTCAAATGCTTAAACAATTTTTTCACCAGAAGAGAAGCTTTTGAAAATGTACCTATGCAATTCCCAAAAATAGATTACCAAGATATGTTCAAATGAACGCAGAAGAGGATATGTGAGGAGGAATTGAACTTCGGCAAAAGTAGCACTTCGTAAAGGGCTAAGTTTATAAAATTTCCTAATATCTGTCAATACACAAAATTTAAATAGGACAGTTTTTATTTCTCAGCAAAAGATTGCATGTCGTATGTGGCCTGTACTGAAACATTTTAGACTTTAAAATGATCATAACAAATATTTTTCATATGGACATTTAATATATTTTTAGTTTTTATGTCCATACTAGAGTGGTGAATTATACTGATGGGGACTGACAGTAGTGACAGTAACCAGAGTGCAGGGGTTCAGTAATATAGCTGTTTAATATATATAGAAAACCTATTTTTTGGCAGGGAATGCAAAAATTGTCTCTATAGAGAGGCGCCCGTTAAAACGGGTTTCACTGTACTTTGAAAGCCTACATGAATAGAGGATAATTAGCCCCTATAAAAAAGCAGCAGTGTATAAATTTAAAGGACAGAAAATTATGAGAACCACAAATGATTTATGATGTCGGTTTATAAAATTATATTCAACCAAATTTTTTTGATAATTTAGCATTCTTAATGTGAATGTTTTTGTATATTGAAGTATTGACCAACAAAAATTAACTTAGGTGGTATTAATATTGACAAATTTTATATTCTATACTTCTGTAACCTTCTCAATATGCCTATTTTTTTTTATTTATTTTTTTTTTAAGAGGGTTCGCAACAGTAGAAGTCATATAAACCCTCAGGGTGCCGGTGTTTTTGAAAAAAAGCCCATTTGTAAGTATGTCGGGTTCGAATGCAGGGCAGCTGGATTCGAACCCAGGACCTTTACCTTACAGTGATGAGCGCCGTGTCAAAGACTAAACCTTGTGGCCACCGACGCCCCTCAATATGCCTATTCTCATCATTCTTATTCAGAATTGTATAAAATATGCAGAGCTGAAAATAATCTAACTGAAGACAAACACAAAACAAATTAGATAATTTCAAATTTTATAAACTGCTGATGACAAATATATTTTAACAGCATGCCATTCCGATATAATTTATTGAAAAATATTCTCGATAGTAAGCTTCAACATAGTAGTGTTAATTCTTTCTGTTTACCAAATTTGATATTTGTAGTTTTAATTAGTCAAACATATGATTTTAATAAAAAGCCAGTTACCACTAAATCTAATTATTTTCATTCAAATATAAAAATGTAGACATTAACAAAAATTATTAATTTAATTTGGTTGTGGGATGAGATAAAATTTTCCCAAATTTCCCTTAACTCATATAAAAGGAAGAAAATAGGAACTGAAGAAAAAGAAAAAAAAGGTGGTGTCTGACTGTATAACTTTGTAACCACATTTGTTTTGTTATGAAAGGGAAATTAGAAGTAAGAAAAGTTTGCGTGATTGATACGAGCATTGATATTGTAAATACGTTTGTATACCTGGAACCATTTAGCACGACGTAGCTGGGCCAAAGCTTCAAGGCACTTGGCTTGGTCTAGTGTCTCCAAGTTCGCCAATGTGACTCTTCCTCCTTCTGAACATACATAGGATGTTTCACCTTGACGTGGTAGATACAACGCCCATCAGCACAAGAACTAACATCCAAACAGCAATCAAACTCATTTCATTCTAGATTTTTGACTCAATTTTTAACCACTCTTTTTACAGGAATGTTAAAAATAAAAAACCTCTTAAAAAAAGTGTAAATAAAATTTATAACAAAAAATCAAAACAAACAAAAAATATCCCGTCTAAATTTTCCAGAATAAATGATTTGATTGCTCCTTGGGTGTGGTTTTTGCACTGATGATAAAGGTGAAAAATCCGTCAAAAACTCCTTTTGAAAGTGACACCTAGAAAGCTTAGTAAAATAGGCACATGAAAAGAATTAGTAGCTTTTAAAAGATGGAAAAACAAATCATAAAATAAAAATTAAAATACGTATTACAAAATCGAATTCCATAAATCGATTACACAATCCTTTTCTTGGCCTTATTGCCTTTCATAGTGTCGATATTGATAAGCCTGGACATTTTAATGTGACTGTATTTTCTTTTAATTTCTCAATTACCATAAATGCTAATATTACCGACTAAGCTGCAATATTTGGCACTGGTTTATCTCCATATGAGTCAGCAAGTGTACATTCCTTCTTCTTTGCATTGAAAAGTTTCAAAACATTATTATGCATCAAGGGCTTTAAAATTTATGAAATTAAATTGTGAAATAATCTCTTTGGTCTAAATACATGAAAATCAATTGCCCAGGCTTTTGTATAGGTAAAGGAGGTGGTGGCAAATTTTTTTTTCTTTTTACACAAATCAATTTTTACTTCCAAGGGTCAAAAACAAATGCTTTACCTCTATTTATTATTTGTAATGTTTCAACAGGGGACTACTTATTTCTAAATCTTTATCCGCCTTTCTTTTTTTTTCTTTTCACTTTCTAGAGAATGTATTTTATTTGACCCATGGATTGATTTGTTTACTTTACAAATCTTACAACTTAAGCGGGTTACTAACCGCCGTCAGCTGCTTGCATAAGCATTTCCCTTAGAATCGGAGATGTTAATGTTATTGTGACGGTGATGTTCAGGTCTGTAGTCGTCCCGACTGTTATTGAAGCATCTGCCATTTCCAAACTAATTGTATAATTTTCTTCTGGAGCAACAACCTTTAAAGCAATATTTATTATTATTAAACTGATTAAAGTAATAAATAACACGGGCTCTTACCTTAAGTTGGGCACTGAGGACATTGTATACTTCAGTTAAAAGCTGTTTGGTAGGAATTTCACCGCAGAGAACAACTAGATCAACAGCATTTTCATCAGCAAGCATAAGACCTTTTGATAAAATTCCAACCCTCATCACTCCTTTAATTATCCTCAGGTTATCTTTATCATCAATTACAGAGCTAAAAAAATATATATTAGAAACAGTGATAATTACAATTTATAACTAAATAGTTTTAATTCCAACCTTGGTTTCCCTTCATGTTTAATTTCATGGGTGGATGTTTCAGATCCCTCTTTCTTCTGGGCAGCAGGTACAGGTTCCTTTTTAATCGCCACACCAGGTTCTTTCTTAGCAACATCACTAACCACATCCTTAGCCTCAGTACCTAAATCAATGGCTATTACTTCTGAATCAACACAATAATGTAAACTCTAAATCAGATACCTTTAATTTGCTCTGATATCTGATCAGATACGAGCTTCAAAGCTTTTTCACAATGTGAAACAATTTTATGAACAGCTTGAAGCTTACTCTCTTTTGGATAGATCACTTGGTGTTTTGCGATTATGTGGCGATCATCCAATGTATCAGGGCGACGCAGTCCAAACTATAAATAATAAAAGAATTTAATACTTGAGGGTGGGGACAAAACAATTGTAACTTACAGGCGGAGGTTGTAAGAAAGGAGAGGGTACGGGTCCCCGCCTTCTCATCCATTCCATATATTCAAATTCCTCCTCATATCTTCGTCTCTCTTCCCAGAACAGTCGATCATCTGTCCAAAAGCTACAGGAAGAAAGAAATCGTTGTCAACAGGTTTGTTAGCAAAATTAAATTTTAATCAGCTTACCTATCTTCTTCTCTCCTTCTCAAGAAGTCATCCCTTCTTCGTTTATCTTCTTGGATTCTTCCCCTCCTTCCTGAGGGTTTGACGTCGACAACTAGGTCTGGGTTTACTTTTTTCTTAAACTGGAGTCTATGTCTCCTACCCTTCATATGCATATCTTTGGCATTTGGATCATTAAATTTACATTCACATAATTTGCAGTTAAAACTTAGTAGTTTTCCTGAAATAATAAGTTTATTAAATATTTAATTTAATTTTTTTAGTAATAAGCATCATAATCATAAACAAGCATGGTAATCAAAGCACACCATCTTCATTAGTTATTTCCTCTATGTATTCTTGGCCTACTGGGGTAACTTCATTGTCTTGAACCATTTCTACATCCCCAGGTTCCTCTTTTAGCTCCTCTTTGTTCTCTGCTTTGATTACAGTCCCTAAAGTTCCAACTACAATATTTTTAGAAATTATTATATGCAATTATATTACTGAAAATAATAAAGCTAATTAGAAAATTACGTACTCTGTACAAAATTAATTTTTGGAGGTGTTGGAGAATTTGAGGCAACATTCGATAAGGAAGCAACAGCTGCTGCTTTAGCAGTTTTCATGTCAACCTCTGGAATAGGTTTACCCAATCTTGTATGAAGTTTAACAACCTAGAGTAAAAACTGTTTTAGATACGAAACACACATTTTAAATAGAAACAGACTTTTTGATGCTTGGCACCACGTAGATGAGCAGCATACGCATCTGACCCTGTACAAACAACATCACAAAGCTCGCACCGAAGGTTGTTCGCACCCCTGCCACCAACTTGTGGTGTTGTACCCTCTTTTTGAAGAGCCTCTTTTTTCTTGTGCCTTTGCCCTTCCAAATGTTCCCTGTATGTTTGTGGTCCAGCACAGCTGATTTTGCATACTTCGCAATAATGGAGCTGTTGGGGTTTTGGTTGCGCCTTTGCTCTCATTTGTTTAACACCAGATTGCTTTTTGTACCCTTGCCAGGAATTCGTCTGTTTACCTTGGTTTACATACATCCCAGCACTGTATACAGCTTTAAATTTAAAATTTAAAATTTTAAACATCCACAATTACATTTTAACATAATGAACAATGTAAGCATACCTGTTTTTGCTTTAGGCGCAGCAGTAGTCTGCACTGTAGTTGGGTTCTGAGCAGTGTAGGCAGAACTGTAATTTGTTGTTGTTGCACCGTTTCCGTAACTCACTGTCGTGCTTCCGTTATATGTTGCAACACCAGCTGCCTAAAATAACAACTTATGTAAAACCCTACAATGTCGCTAAAAATATGTACAACCTTAGCAGTCTGTTGTGTTTGAACGGGAGTAGTGTAAGCGTAATTCGTTCCTTGTGCAGGCTGTTGAGGTGCAGCTGCGTATCCAGTATTATACTGGGCCGCTTTGTGGGGCTGTGCAGCTGGACGGATGCTGGGTGTTGTGTAGGTAGCACTGTACGCTGTTTTACCAGCTGAAATCAACAAATTGAAAATGTAACCAAACATTTTGTTGAAATATTATCTTTATTTAACTACATACTTTGCTGTGGTGTAGCTTGCCAGCCAGGATATTCAGCTGTTGAATAAGCTTGGGTAGCTGGGGCAGTCTGCTGATAATATGTTTTTGTCGAGTCGTAAGCAGCTGGTGCTGTACGTGCGTAACTATAGTCGTAAGTTGCAGGCGCCGCAGTCCCAGCAACTAATTAGCAACAAGCATCATATTTAATAATAATGGATATACAACTTCTATCCAAACTATTTTCTTTCAATAATGCTGTAATGCTGAATAAAAATTATTCTTTCTCCCCCCGTCCCTACATCAAAATTATTACTTATATGTGCAATAGATGTTTTCATATCCGTCCACATAATGTAAGTTCCATAATGGGTGATTTACCAGCCAGTAGAGTGCAGGATTCCAAGGGGTTTATAAACACCGGCATGGATTATGCCGGTCCCATAAAAATTCCCATGTTGTCTTATGTGAATTTTATTCAATCAACATTTTGAGTTGGTATTCGTCCACAATGGGAGGCCTACCGCAGCGAGATCGAAATCTCCAAGACAAAATCACTGAAACCATCTCTGCACTGTGCATTCACCAATGCTTCCCCCCATAAACTATATTGACGTTACACATGATTTACGCTGCACTTCGACCAAGTTTAAATTCATACAAATAAATTTGACGAAAATCTAAAATTCAATTTCGCAGGTCCTCACTCTTACAAAATTCAATATAAACTAAAATCCATACATGTTTTAGAAGTCATCATTAATCATAATTATTCAGAAATCGTGAGATGCAGTCTGGTGTGAAGTAGGTTTCAGAAAAACATTTTCTTTATTGTGCCGTTTCGAATGTTTTTCTGAAACCTACATTACACCCGACCGCATCTCACGATTTCTGAATAATTATCGATTAACGGTCACTAATCACCACACATTAATCATAACAATTATTTCAATTAATTATTCCTTTTATCTATGGTTTTTGGTTGAGATGAAAAAGCGTGTCATGAGTGGAATTCGAACCACGACCATTTACTCAACACGCCGCCGCTCTAACCACTTGAGCTATCGCAATTTTGATCCCCTCAGACACCAACTCCTCACCTCAACCTATGTCCTTTTGAATTTTCCCTTTTTTTGCCATATTTTTAAAAGTCATGCAATCAGGATTAGATTTTCATTGACATATGAAGAAGCCACAGGGAGCTGTTGGTGAAGTAATTATTTGTATTATAATTAGTAATTATTAAATCATTCCATATTTACTTAGGTGTCACAATTGACCATATTAATTGTTTCAGTAATTATTCTTTTGACCTAAGGTCTTGGGTTAAGATGAAAAAGACAATGTTACGAGCGAGATTCGAACCCACGACCTTCAGCTCAAGTGGGAGCAGCGGCTTATTGAGCTTATTGTATTATGTTGAGCTTGTTAATTGTATGTTGTGTTGAGAGTGTTAGGTACACAACATACAACCGTGACACATCACAGAAAACACATACTTTGAGCTCTGACAATGATCTAAATAAAGATCCAAAACGGCATGATAAAGAAAACGTTTTTCTAAACCGACATTACACAAGACCACATCTCGTGATCTCCAAATAATCATTAGTTAACAATCACTAAGTCACTAAATACTACACATTACTGGCACCCATGTTTGACCCCACAATGACCTCCTTGGGCTAAGATGTTAAGCTTTATATCAGAACATGACATTCTGGAGGTCGTTGGTAAAATCCCAAGAACGATAATATAAAAAAAACAAGACGAACGGAAAAAATAAGAAGGAAATATTTCAAGGCGAGATTTTAATAGAGGAGACATCAAGATGGAGGATGGATCTTGTGAAGTTGTGGAACTAAGTGGTTATCGATTGATGACGGTAAAATGAAGTAGAATTTTACCTGCGTAAGTACCGGGTGCCGTGTGCGGTGCCGGCTGGTAAGTATCGTAGCCAGTGGCCGCCCTTTGCGTATTGTAAGTGGCAGCGGCGGCGGCGGCTGCCGTCTGAGCTACCGCATAGCCTGTCTGCGGCGCTTGATAAGCGGGAGTTCCAGTCGCCCTAGAAAAATAAAACTAATAAGACAAAAACCCTGCGATCAAAAACGAGTCCTTTGTAAAAATCTCGTCCGATTTCTTTCACGGACCCCGGTTCAACGGGAGATAAAAAAAGACTTTGTACAAAAGAAGTACGATTGAGAGACGATCCCCTCCTACTAATCAAAGCCGGCAACTAAACGGATCGCCTACCCTTAGTTTAAAAAGACCAACACGATTTTACAATTCTAGACTCTTTAATTGAACTATATTTCACATTTAGACTTACGCGTATTGTGTACCACCATGTGTAAAACCAAAATAATTATTCGCTGCCATTCTATAAATGTAGGAATAACCAAAATGGACGCCGCATCTATCAACTCTGGTAAACTTAATTGACCCAAAAAACAGGTGGACCAACTGAACATTGCTCAGTTGTTTTCGCTTTCCCTGATTAAACAGCGATCACGATTTGTTTTGCAACTCAAGGCGATCCTCTTATTAAAAAGAAGTGATTTTTCATCTTTACGATCCAATTAAAAATATCATCATTTGAGTTAAAATTTCATTTGCATGAAATCATGAAACTACTCATTATTCCGACTTTTCAATTATTTCGTGTAGAAAACCCCAGAAATAATTTAATAACCAATTTTATTCTAATAATAATTTAAGCGCTGAATCTTACAAAGTATAGCAAAAAATAATAATACTCACTTATTATTTTATTCACAGGTCCCTTTTAGAAACAAGCAAATTATAAATTTTAATAAAGCCCTATTTGGATTTGTTTAAATTGGAAAAAAAACTTATTATCCTTATTTATACCTTTTATCAAATTTTCAGTGATAGTATATTTTTTTTCTAGCGAAGGTTACGGCACAAGTAACCTACTAAGTTGTAAACTTCTAAACCCGTAGACTTGGTAGAAGACTCCAAGTGACTTGCCTCTGCTCTAGCATGATTTCAGGGTATCTTGGTGCCTTGTTGAATCAGAAATGGTACGTAATTAACTTAAAAATCAACCAATTCAGATATTTCGTGTTTTTCAATGTTTTTATTGGAACTTTAACAGTTCTTTATAATCCATTTATATTTAGTGGTCTCATTGACCAAATTATGTTAATTAATTATTCTTTTTATGTAAGATCTTGATTGAGGTGAAAAAGTAAGTGTCATGAGCGAGATTCGAACCGACTTTTGGCTCAATTAGCTATTGCCGTAATCACTTGAGCTATCATGACTTCGATCCACTCGGACACCAACTCCCCATCTCAATGTACAACCTTTCGAATTGTATCAACCAAGACCTTACATAAAAAGAATAATTGAAATAAGTAATTTGGTCAATTAGTCCACTAAATATAAATGGATTAATATTTGATAAGTAAAGAAGTATCACTTCAGTAACAGCTCCCTGTGGTCACTTCATAAGTCCCTTAGAATCGTATCCTGATTACGCGACATTTGAAAAACGGCAAAACGAGAGAAAATTCAAAAGGTTGTGAGTTGAGTTGAGGAGTTGGTGTCCAAGTCGCTCAAAATCTCAATAGCTCAAGTGATTAGAGCAGTGGTATATTGAGAGACGGTCATGGTTCGATTCCCACTTTTGACGCTTGCTTTTTCATCTCAACCAAAAGCCATAGATAAAAGGAATAATTAATTGAAATAATTAATATTGTTAATTATGACTACAAAAACATGTATGGATTTTAGTTTATATTGTATTTTATAAGAGTGAGGACCTGCGAAATTGAATTTGTTCAAACTAGATTTTCGTCAAATTTATTTGTAACTTGGGCAAAGTGCGGGGGGATTGAAATTGCTATATATGTAGCTCAAGTGGTTAGAAGAGCGGCGTATTGAGCCAAAGGTCATGGGTTCGAATCCCGCTCATGACACTAACTTTTTCATCTCAACCCACTTCCTTATAATATTGACAGACGATTATTATCCAGTCGAGTTGTCTTGATTAGGGACCGTATAAATTCCTGCTCAAAACAAGCTACACACCTTGTCACTTATTTCCCAAATATTGAGTTTTAAAATAAGTGTGGAGCATTTTTTAATAATTCGATTTTATCCGTAGGATCAATTGTCATTTTCAGGCATGTGAGAAAGATAGTTCGATATCCCATCTAGTTGAAGGGTGCAATATGACGCTGAGGTGTAATCCTGATTAAATGACATTTGAAATATGGCAAAAAAAAGAGAGGAACATTCGAACAGATGTAGGTTGAGATGAGGAGTTGTGCGAGGGGTTCAAAGTCACTATAGCTCAAGTGGTTAGAGTAGCGGCATATTGAGCCGAAGGTTATGAGTTCAAATCCTGCTCATAACAGTAACTTTTTCATCTCAACCCACTTCCTTTTAATATTGACAAACATAAATGGATATTACATTATTGCACAATTATTATCCAGTAAATATTGTCTTGATTAGGGACTGTATAAATTCCCTTTGAAATTCTCACTCAAAACAAGACACACCTTGTCACTTATTTCCCAAATTTTGAGTAGGAAAATGTCTTGTCGCTTATTTCAATAATTCGATTTTATCCCTAGGAGCAATTAAGTCATTTTCCGCCATGTGAGAAAGATAGCTTGATATCCCATCTAGTTAAAGATACACCAAGTAAAATAACATCCAGGAACGAAGTGAATGTTGAGGTCATTGCGGATAAGTAAGGCTAAGGACATAGTAGGGCGTTTGGTTATTTTTGTCTCAGGACTTTTGATCGCAATGCTTGGCTGAGTTGGATATTGGATGGTTCCGTGATACCCCCCAGTTCTGCTCTGTATGTCCAAACAGGTAAAATTATGTCTTGTAAAGTGTTTCTTTATTATAGCCGTGTAGATTTTGGTCCTAACAGTCTTCTTAGTTTTCTGAATCTGTTCAGTTTTTATCGCTTCATTCTAGGATGTAAATTCTATATCTAGGTACAGTCCTAAGTATTTAATTTGTGTGGATGTCAGTAAGAATGGGATTCCAGTTTGTTCAAAAATAAAATTTAAAAAGAAGTTTCATCTTGCTTCATTTCTCTATTAGATATTCCAATCAATGTCTGATCATATTTCAATAATTCTAGTAGCAAAAAAAAATCCTTAGCTAAGTAGAGTTATTTTAGCCACTCAGTATCACGGCATTTTATCGCAAGAAAGTTGTTTTTTCTTTTGGAACTCAGGATCATAGCTCCTGCAGAATGAGATAGGCGTCAGAATATAACATATTATATATCTTTTTGTTTTTTCTTGTCTGATTCATCATCATGTATGCAAAAAAAACCATATCAAATACATTCGGCCACAACAAATAGCTTAAATGCAGATCCAGCTTATTTGAGTGTTAGGGCCATGAAAATTAATGTTCAGCTCAATTTTTATACAAAAGTAGGTACTATTCTTAGGTAAAGATTGCACCAAAAGATTGTTTAATTAATTCCATTTTTATTCTAGTTACTTTTTAGTATTAGCTTTTCCAAGAGATTTAAGGGTTACGATTAACAATAATTCTATTTTTTAACAGCTTGCAGCAAGGTGTTCAGAGGTGTGCTGCAACATTCGTGAGAAAATCCACAAATGATGTCATGAAATACGAATGGAAGAAACATTTCCGAATAGCGAATACACGGTGTTACTTTCCCCGGGCTCATGAAGGGAGGAGACTAAAGGTGCACGGCTGGGATGTTAGGATGAGTACAGAAGCTGGAAGGAAAGTGCTTATGAGTAGAATATTGAAAGGGCGTCATGTTCTGTCCCATTGAATAATCAGTTGGTAATGTGTAGTTAATTTTTATAAATAAAATATTTCTTATAAGTTCTTCCTTATTGAAGTACTTTTATTTGGATAAAACAGTACTTCCAATCTGATCCCATCCGTATCAATTAGCATATTTATGGTATCGAGGTAAAATAAATAAAAATTTTTGATCATGCTAAAGCATATATTATTTTTCTCATATCTTCACTTGTTAACAAGTAACAATTTTTCCTCTCTCTTGTAAATAACAATTTTTTTCTACATACATGTTTTATAAACATTTGATCCAATGCAAAGCCCTCTAAAAGGACTGACAGTTATAGAAATTCAACATCTCTTATAACTTGCCTACAAAAATAAATGAATTGTCTTTCCATTAAGGTAAGTATGTAAAATAAATAAAATGCACTGTGTACACATTGATTGCCCTACCCAGAGGACTTAAAATGCACAAACAGACCAATGGTTAATAATGATAATAGAAAACAATATTGTCCAATATAGAAAATGACAAATTTTCATGTTTTTCGGTAATCGTAAATAGTTTGAATTTAAAAGTTTAAGTGCTCCTTTGGCCACCTTAAGATAAATTTGTCTATAAATTATTTCATTCACACTATACATACATATTCATTGATATTTAAAATGGACACAAGTGATAATCTACTTTAAAAACAATTTTAATTAACGAATAACATTTCAGTCCTCCAATATTCTCTAGGACTCGAGGTATTTCTGCATTGCAGTGAATAAAGGCCGACACTCATTTTAAAAAATGGTTTTCATTGAATAAATCCACCAAAAGGCACAATCTCTGAAGTCGTTTACATACAACTATTCAAATAGAATTTAGCCTTTCTCTTACAAACTAATAATTGATATTATGTACAATGTCGTTTTTTTATTTTTATTAATTTTTTCAAAATCTTTAACAAACAAAAAAATACAAAAATCTAGGGAAAACCAAATTGTCCACTACTGCTTTTTTTTAATTTTTCAGTTTCTGCTTCAAGACAAAAATAAATGTATAGTTAATTTAAAAATTTGTCATTTGGCACTAACATTTATATTAACTATTTCTATTGGAGTAGTGGATTGAAAAAAAGAAATAAAAAAATTAAATAACGGACAAAAGATTGTTTTAAAAGAACAACAAAACAGAAAAGTTTTTTTAAGGCACTACTTCGGTCTGGTCAGTTTACAGTTGAATTAAGTTTGGTAAAATCAGATAATGGCATATTATGTACAAAATAATATGAACAAAAGAAAGGAGACTAGACAAAGAGCAATTGATTGGTGAATATTTTTGGTGGCGAATCAAATGAACCAAGGAATTGACCAGCATCAAAGTCATACCCCAAGAGGAACTTTCCAGAGAACACAACAAAGACAACAAATTGGAAATAAAATTAAGTATCTTTCACAGTCAACTGGCAAAAATAAGAGGTAACAAAGCAGAAATGACAAATGCTATATAATTCAAAATAAACAAACTGGTTTAACAACCTAAGGACACCTTAATATAATTTTCAAATTATTTATCGTACAGTAAAAAATAAAATCTGTTGGCCAAATTCTCTAAAATATCACCTTCTTAAACATATGTACACTGTGCTTAATTAAACAAACCTTTTTTCTTTTTTTGTCCTAAACAAAGATTGAGCCTCATAATTATGTACAATAATAGTAAAATTGGAATTTTTTCTCTTTTTTTTCGTATATATTAGTTCTTAAAAATAAGTATACAAGTGAAACAAAATAATTTACATAATTTAAGTGTACAACCTTTAAAAGATTAATAACAAAACAAAACAATTCGGTCGTTATTCAATAATTTCGAAAAATAATACAATTAGGAGGAAAATAATTACAACATACAACCATAAAGAATAAACAGAATTAAAGAGCACAACTATTTATTGCCTTGCTTTTATATGATTCAAGGGAATTAAGATAATTTCAACAGATTAAACAACAAATCACAGACTGCATCATTCTCAACGTTGAGAATAAAAATTTCTGGTGAAAATGAAAACTTAACTTTAATTAATATTGCTTTTCCATGTCTGATTTAAATAAAATATCTTTTTAATGTCTTTTATTTATTTTTTTAAATTAAATTTTGTGTAACTTGAAAAATAAACAATTTTACTCAACAACCTGCAACACTTTCTCTAGAATAAAAATTACTTTCATTATTCTTTATAGTTCTATATTGTCATTAATGTAATCATTACACAATATATTTGAACCGGGTTTATGTAGAAATGATTTTATTCATTCCTAGACAAAGATTGCAAACTGCCGAGAAAAAACTTAACATTTCTGGTTGAAGTGTAAGTTTCTTAAATAAATTAAACATCAAGTAAACAATTGAGCAAAGGTTTAATTTAACGCGTGGGAAAATTCAAGAATGACCATTTCCAAGGCAATGTTTGCAATAAATAAATTTGCAACATTAAAACAAAACTTATTTGGAATCTAGAAGACTTGTTTTAAAATAACAAAAAGATTACAACAAAAGTATTATGGTTCAAAAAGTGCACAAATATGCTAATGTTACAGTTGTTGTTTTTTTAAGATAAAACAAAACGTTTAATAATACTATTTCAAAACAATAAACAACTTTCTCATATGAACTTTTTTCTCTTACTGCTGACTTTTATTTCAGATTATGAGTATAACATAAATAAAACAAAAAAACTATTTGAATTTTCGATTTGGACGACCAGATAATATAAATTCCTAGGCGTAGAATAATTAATTTAAAAAAATCAATAATAATCCACAAATAAAATTGCGTCAACAATAAGACTACAGACAAATTAAAATGAATGAACAAATTGGTAACTGGCTGCTATTAGAGAGCCGACTAACCTCAGAGGATAAACCATTGGAACTTTGAACAAATAAAACAGATGTAATGAAGAAATGGAATGTCATGCATCTAGTTATAATGGACAAATATCATGATTAAAATCCCATCATTCTTATCTCAGAAAAAATATACATATTATACTTATTTAGCTATATTAAAGAATTAAAATAGCATAAATAATGGTATCTAAGCATCTTAATTTATTCTTCTCTATTCTCTATTTATTTCTTTTTTACATATACTCCCTAATATTATAAATAATGAGGGAGAAGGTATCGTATAGTCCAAATTGAGTCCAAGTCATATCCGCTTTAAATCCGATTTCTTAACCTAAAATATATAATCTATTATGCTACATTAAGATTTACAAATTGCGCATTCCGACTTAATACCGCAGCTTTTACAATAATTTCTATTTTCCATTCTTTTTGAAATATAAATATAATTTATATATATATTTTTTTGTGTTTTTATTTTGTTTTTGCTTTTTTTTAACTAATGAAACGGAAAATGAAATTATCCTCACACCATCAATTCCCCCTCAATAACCCAAAGAATGCTTTTTTTAGTTTTTATGTAAATTTTTAATTTTTTTTTATCCAATACAATAATTTAAACTTAAAAACAATATAATATCGCAAATAACTCAGTACGAATTCGCCAACATCTGTAACGAATTTGGCAAAAAAGTCCATAAATTCTTATAAACTATTATTAATTATTACTATTATTTATTAATCAAGGCAGATAAGAAGTCCCAGAATAATTTTTAACTCAAGACCAGTTTTCACTCGAAAAAGAGCACCTTAACGTTTAACAGGCACATAGAAAATGCACATCTGCATATAATGTACATTGGATTGTTTTATAAATCAGACTTTTATCATTGAAGTTGAAACAATTTGGATTGGTTCTTGGGTCAATTAAATATTATGGGTTCCCATCCTACCTTGCTATTTTTATACAATATAATTTAGGGTTTTGTTCAATCACATAAAATGTCCTATTTTTACACAAGTGTTAGTGATACAAAAATCAAATAGATAATATGAAGAAGTAGATACAAATATTAATCATAACGAATCACAGTCGATGTAGATTCAACAAAATATATTTTGATAAAAAAAGATCTGACTTTCACCAAACAAACAAAAAACAATTGATGTTTTTAGTTTTAACTTTTTCCTTTGTTTTTCAATAATTGATTCTTAAAGAGAAATAAACCCCCACCTTAATAAATAAATAAAAAAAGAGAAATCAAAAGCAATAAATAATATTTACTTGGTCCTACTAGTTTATAAACTTCGACAAAAGAAACGATATGTTTATGAATTATGTCCAAAATGAAATTTGTTATAAGTATGTATGTGGTATGTCATTGCTGATATGTTTTGTGTGGTAATTTAATAAATAAATGTTTTACTTGTATTGTTCAAAATATTTCTTTAAAATAATTCTTCCTTATTCACTTTCTCAACAAAAGAAAATATATTTGACAGTTTAATCTAAAGCTCATCTGAACTACACTCAAATAAAAAAATCTCCAATAAAAACTAATTGGATGAGTGTTAAAACAAAAAAGTAAAAATAAACACTTTGGGATTGAAACACAAATTTAATTTAAGAAAAAAATGTAGTAGTGAGTACTGACTTTTATCAAGCTAGCATGTGTGGTCCTTCTATTTTAAAATGGAAAACATTTTGTGAATTTTAATTGTTTTTTAACTTTTAATGGAGACTAAATGGTGGAGAGTATATGGTCAAAAATATATTCATGGCAACAAAATAGTACAATTGAGAAAAATATTTTTGGCAGTGGTTACCCCATGGGTGGCCTTAAGTTCCTAGGAAGGAGTCAATTGAGGTATTTAGTCACTGAATAAGACTGTGATTGCTTTGATTATGGATATAGATAAATATTTCAACACCTACATCAATTTTCTATAAAAATATAAAACTATGATTTTTGTAAAATTTATTCTATAGAACAAAATGTTATCTGTAAATAGAACTTTTATTAATAATAATTTAATCTTTTTCTTTGTTATTTTTATATATTTTTAATAATATTATTATCGAGCATACAGCATCTGTTGGGGGGACTTTTTTAAATATAATTTCTGATTACAACTGGATTAAAAATTGTGAATGAAAAAACAGATTATGTTAGAAATTGGTTCTTTTTCATTTTCAAAAATTCAATTCATTTATTTTTGCTTTAGCGTGAATGCCACATCAAAGGCACACACATGGTAATCTAGAAAAGATAAACTTGAGATTCTGTTACGTTCAATGTCTAAATTTTTCTAGAAACAAACTTTCGATGGGTTTACCACATTTTTCAGAAAGACAGAAATTTTCTTCTCAGGAAGTTAAAAAATTGTTGTTCACTTTCTTTGTCAGAAAATAAAAAAGAGAGAAATTTGCTTCGACCTTTTTCTTTTTTATTTATTTGCTTTTCTTGCTCCTTTTCGTTAGAGTTACATGAATATGAGGGGGTTCTGTTCATGTTATGAGTTTTTTGTTGGAAATTCTCTAGAGTCATACTCAAGAACAAGCCTTTTAATATGAGAAAGTTTCTCGTGAAGATACTGAAACCTTCTTTTAGCGTCTTGATGCCTTGTGTTCTTTTTGTTTTCAATATATTCTTTCATTATTTGGTCCTTAATTCTCTGAAACAAAAATAATTATAAATTATAATTTTTATAAAACCTCAATCAAGATATAAATAAATAAAATGAAATAAATCAATAAAGGGTACTTGAATAAGTGGTTGTACTAATTTATTAAGTTATCTACTTAAAATATTATTTTAAGAAACACGTGACAAACCAATAGACTAAATGTGACTACATAATTTATTTTGAACAACTAAAGTTTAAATTGATTAATTCTTACTTTAAAACTATCATATCATTTATCTAGTTATCTAATTAATGCAAATTATTCTAAACCTCTCCCTTATTAATTGTTATAGGTTCTAGAGAAATTTTTTAAGTTTTCTGTTTATTCCACCCGTTATCTATTAAAAAAAGAACTCAATTGGTAAGAATAAAAAAATTTCTTCACCTGCCAGCCTTCACTCTCTCGTTCTTCCCTTTTGAGTCTTTCGTCTAATTGAGTAAACCTCTTAGATACTTGTTCAACGACAGAATGTAATTGTTTATACTCGTTGTAATTGGCATTGAAGTCATCTTTGTATCTCCGCCTCTGGTCGGTGTCCTTTATCGTTGTGTAATCACTGAAAGAGTACGCAATGGCATATAATGTCATGTTAGGGATGTTGGTTCTGATATTACTCACATAAGATATTTGGGGTAATCGGGTGGGTACTTGGGTGGACTGGTTTCTTGAGGAGGAGTCGGTGGTGCAGGATCTGGCATTACGAGTTTATTTTGGTTAATTGTGTGGTCTCCCCCTGCCGCTACTCCTCCGCCGCCGCCGCCACCACCACCGCCTCCTCCTCCTCCTCCTCCTCCTCCTCCACCTGTCACTCCCGCGCCACCTCCGCCACCACCACCAATGCCTCCTCCACCTGTACTGCCATTTCCAGGAGGAGTAGGCTTCCTATAATGTGAAATTCTCTGCCTTTTGGTTGGCAAACCGTCAGCTCCATCATAATACCTTTAAAAAGTAATATCATAAGAAAAAAGCACAAATGAAGCCTTTCATAATGAATTACAACATTTTCAATTATTATTTACCCAGGTCGTTTTGCCGTTGGTATAGGTTCTGAAGCTGAAGGTGGGCTTCCGGGGTGAACGCTTGATGGTGATTGTGAAGAGCCACCATCACTACTCCCAGGTGGTGTTAAATTTTCAGGTTTACGTCTAAAAAAATAATATCATAGCTTGAAATTTTACTAAAATTAAATTATTTTAGTAAATTAAATACTACTATTTTACTAAAATTAACAATAACGTGTAAGTACCCAACAAAATTAGTTAAATTTGTCATATTTATAAACTTACCTTTTTAACATTTGCCTATCTTGTTCCGTGTAGAAAGGCCAATCTTCCTGTACATCATTCCACATGTGCCTCATTAAATGGTAAGTGTTGTCTTTGGCGGTGGCAACACTTTTTATAGTATTCATTAGATTACTTCTATCTTTGTCCTTCAGGCCATCTATAAAAATGTTTATTTTATTTATTTATTTATTTTTTTTTGTAAGGTTTCCAACTAAGAACTCATGAATTAAATTTAAAAAAGATCTAACCTCTACTTAAGGCCATAAACAGTTCAGGCTTTTTGTAAGGCCGTACTGCAAGGAGTTGTATGATTCTATCTCTATAAAATAAAATTCCATTAATTTGAACATATTAACTTGCACAAAAAAAACCTAAATACCTGATAGGCCTTTTCATTAGTTCAGGATTTCCTGGTTTCTGTGCGTGGTTATTTCCCTGCGGCCTGGTATGACCAAGGGGAGGTGGAGTGTGACTCGAAGGTGGCAGTCCCATGCTCTTTCTTTGTGCAATTGGGGCTATTCCATTAATTGGTTTCCTCAATTTTATCCTCCTGCCGATGCCAGTTCTGTCCAGTTCGATTTCTCTTGTGCTGGAATTTATTAATTTCTTAGTTTCTTCTAAAAGAAAAAATACAACAATTCCATTTCAAAAATTACTACAAACCAATTTTCTTTTTGCTGTTTTTCAGCCGCCTGCATCCTGCTCCGTGTAGTTTCGTACACATCCTCGTTTGCTTGCACCCGCATCTTGCAAGGCAGGGGTCCGACACTTTCTAAGCATCTGTAATAATTTAAAAAATAATTAAGTAAATAAAAAGAAAAACACTGAAAGTTAGAAACAACTATGTGCCAAATGTATACCTTTGACCGCTGTGTTGTATACATTCAAAACTACCTTGTGGACCTTCTATATCAGAATTACTAGAAAGACTGAATTTAAACCCAGCACGGCCTCTTGATTGCCCATTTGGCAGAAACAGGTGCTGAAAAAACAAACAAAAAACACTTTAAATTTAATAAATATAAAATAAATAACAATTAGACAGTCTGTTATTTGTCTTAACTTCATAAAGCTTTTCAAATAAAACCTCCGAGAAAAGAAAATCTGTAGATAGGCCGCTAGCCTTGAGACTACTTAAATAATTTCTGAAGGCTCATTTTAAGGTATTCATTAGACAAACCAAGAATATCTTCTCACTATATGTTTTAACTACCATTGTTTTTTGATGGTGTGGTTCCTCTTAAATTTTATGGTTAAATAATTCATTGTGCGAATTATTATTTCATAGAAGTCTTTTTGCACATAAATAGCTTCAATTACAAAATTATCATAATTTACATGAATTGTTCTCTTCAAAACTGTCATTTTTTCTATCACTTTTTCCCATTTTAGCCATAATTTAACCAAACCAGCCATTCAGTTGCAGGGCAATAATTTCATGTTAAAGATTTCTAAATGAAGTTCTTTAACAAAACATGCCGTAGACCGGAAAAAGAAATAGTCAGATATATGAGTATGCAAAGTTGTAATAGTGAGTTATAATATATACACCCCTAATGAAACTGATCCTGAGAAGCAATCATTAGAAGAAATTAATTACATAACAAGATCCCTGTAGTGATGATCGAAGAAGTCTGAAAAACTATATGACTGAAACCAACCCAAAAATAGGGCCTAGATACGAACTCTCAGGGAATTGCCACGGAAAATTGTGGTCTAGTTAACCAGGACCATTAGAAACATGGCAAAAGCATCGAAGTTCTCTGAGATCATCATGATCCCTAACATACAAACCATTAGTCTAAGGCCAATGTTTTCTAAATTATTTGAAAAACTTCTTTATTCCTTCTTCCTAAAAGGGTAATAGTAATTATCAAGGAGGAAAAAATAATACTCAACTTCAGTTTGACCTTTGACTACAGCACTCGATTGGATTGACCAGGTCAATCATCACAGCTAATGAAGTAATAGATGTTTCCTTCGATAAATTCTGGCATGAAGGTCTCATACATATAAATAAGAAATTCCATTCCTGGCAACTACTCAAAAAAGTAAATCCTAACTTGCTAACAGATATTGAAATCAAACCAATACAAGCTGGTGTGCAAGAAGGCTATGTATTAGAGCCAGTCCTATTCCCCTCTTTACTAACGATCTACCAGAAACTGAGGAAAATACCACATTTGCTGATGAGATGGCAATTTAGACAGTTGGAGAAAGCAATGCTGAATTGACCCATAAACTGAACACCTCAATATCCCAAATCAATAAATGCAAAGCAAATAATAAAGATGTTTGCAGAAAAATTGGAACATACGGACTTCATTTTACAACAGGTAAATTCAATAAATACCACCTCAATTGTCTTCAAATTTCATACATCAATAAGGCAAATCTTTCAAATAAAATGTAAAGAATAACAACAAACTATTTGGTAGTAAAATCTCAAAAATTCTGTCAATTGAATAATATTTTAATTATAGGTTACGACTTTTTGGCATTAAACAATTTGAATGCTTTAAGGAATGAAAAGAATATTGCAATGTAATGGAAAAACTATTTATTATCATTAGATATACAAAGAGTGCTTATCACAGAATATAGTTCAAATTTTCGGCAGATTTGCTCAAAGAAAAAGCCATTTTTGTAAAAGGTGGTTCTATCTACTCAATCTGTGAGTAGATTCACCTTTTACAAAAGTGAATCTACATACTCACCCCACCTTTATCATTTCTATTATTGATGGGGAAAAGTTTTCTTTAATTAATTATACTTCTATAAAAAAGGATTATTTAACAACTGAGATTTGTCAATACAAATGAAATTAGGCTGTATGTGGATGGTAACGCTAATCTAATAACATGTAATGCACTGTATGTCACCTTAAAGCCTTTTAAAGTTTGGAGCACATATTTTTTGTTTGTCCAATATATAAGGAATTATGGCAGCATTACCTCAAACAATCTTATCAGTGTTAACAATACATAAAAGGAAACAAATTGATAATATCTGCTATTTTATAGCTGGAGGGCTTAAATCGTTAAAATTAAGATCATTTATGTACATGAATAAAAATAAAATATGTAAATTTAAAAAATAATAATCTCCAGTTACTGTATAATAATCCATTGTAATCCCATAACAACTGTTTGTGTATTAATTTTTTATTTTTAGTTTATTTAAGTTGTTTTGTTAAAATGATATGAATAGTGTTATAAATTATTTTTCTTTTCTTTAACTGTTATTAACCTAATTACTATTATTTTGTACCAGCAAATCTAGACTGCCTGTACAATAATTGTATACTTGTATTACAAAAAATACAGTATTTTTTTCTATTATATTCTATAATTTGGTATGATATTTGATGAGCACTTGCGATGGAAAACTGGCCAAAAAAGAGAAGTGATCAAAAACAAATTCAAGAAAATGCATGAACAGGAATTCTCCAATTTCCATTGAAAGTATGTTTTTATTTATTAACAGGATCTTAAGACAATGTGGATCTTATGTAATCCAACTCGGAGGCTGAGCCAGTAAGATCGCTAGAGTCATAAAGGGATTTAGAATAGTGTACAGTCAATGCACCCTGGTACTCATAAATGAAGACGGGCCTCAAAATGGAAACAGTAGAGGAAGCACTCTATAAAGGTGCTTTTGCCCACCATCAAAAGCTTAAAAGCTACATCAACATAGAAGCATTTCACCCACAAGATATTGAACATCTAACCAGTTGACTCGAATGTGTCAAGCCATATGATTAATTGCTGGTGCAGTGATTGTATGGTGTACATAAACAGGAAACTTAACAATTGTTGTCTTGCTTATAAACATCTTTGTAGATTAGAAATGCTTGCTTGACTGATCCATTAATTATATGTTGTTTGTTGACATAATCAGCCTTTTTTTATCCATTGTTTGCATAATAAATGCATTTTGAGCCGTATAAATGCATAGCTTCTCCTCGGTACATTTAAATACTTTTAACTACTATATAAGTATACAATGTTCTGCTCATCAAAATACCTGAGCAAAATACACCTTCCAAACACCAAAATTTCTCTAGTTGCCACACTCAAAATTGTTCTTTTTTTCAATATTTCCTCAATAGACCATATATGTATCATAATTTTTTTTCTCGTTGCAATTTATAATATGTATATTACATGAGCTAGTATGTCAAATATTTGTCCATATTTGTCCATACATAATAAAATCAAGTTTACCTTGGTCAATTTAAACATTATCATCTGCCTATTCTCTGTCCTATCTACTGTTTTAATATTGGGTTGTCCGTAAAATAATGCAGGTTTATGGTTATAAAATAAAAACAATTAAATAAATGATTTTAAATATTTTTTATTAATTAAAATATTAAAATATTCGCCATCACTACCAAAACACTTCTCCTCATGTGATGGCAACTTCTCTATATCCTCTAAATAAAATTTTGAGTCTTTATTATTATCAAATTCTGTAAACGCATTTTCTAAAGACTTTTTGTCAATAAATTTTTTATGTTGTAAAACATTGTTCAGGTGTCTGAAAAAATGGTAGTCGATAGGCAAGAGATCTGGAAAATAAAGGTGAGGTAGAACCTCATAACCAAGATCCAACAGTTTTTGTGTTGTCACATGAGACATAGGGCTGAGCATTGTGTTGTAGCAAAATCAGCCTATTCCGACTGACCAAAGAAAATCGACTGTTGACTTCCTAGTAAAGACTGAATTATTCTCAAGTAACGAAATGCTATTGAGGTAAATACACATTTTTATTTAGAAGAGGATTAAAGTGTTTTCATAAGTACAAAACAATAATCCATGTAAACCGTTTATTAGATAGAGGGGTAATTAAAAGAAAACATGAAACCTGCATTATTTTCCGGACAACCGGACATATATATAATATGACATGCATTTGAAACTACACTTTTTTCAACTGATGGTCCAAATTTATATCATCAATGAGAACTCCACTTTGAATGCTGTTAGGTTTACTGATGCTTTTCTGCCTGTATCATGATAGCAGGCACCGAAGAGTCTATCGAGAACAGGGGATGCATACAATGCCTCAGTTCGTGCTCCCTTCAGTACTACAATTTGGAGGAGGCAGTGTAATGGTCTGAGATGGGATTTGCTCTGGAGGACAAACGGGACTATGTGGAAGTCCGTTATGTCCAAGCAATTATCAAGGAATACATCACTCAAACCAGACCTCATTGACAGGGATTTTCGATTTCTGGATGACAATACATCATAGAGGCAAAGTCATCAATGTTTAGAAAACCTGGGCATTTCCCATCTGCCTCTTCCCTAGACCTCAATCCCATTGAGCACATGTGGGATGCAGTGAAGGCTTTTCGATCACCATCACCACCACAGCCAGCTGGCCTGCAACAACTGAGTGCAGCGTTGCAACATCATTGGAGCTCCATGCTCTATAGAGTGAAATTCCTTATGAAAATAGTGACCCTTATTACTTTTAACAATATGCCTGAACAAGTAACAGAGGTTTTACCAAACAGAGGCCGTGAAATAAGTCCATTTGAAAAAAAAAGAGTTAATGGTAAGTTTAGTAAGTGTAGGCACCTTCTCTCCATATTTATAATCATACATATACAGCAAATGCTGGAGTACAGTTTTTTTAATATAATATTAACAAAAAACTTTGGCCATAAAATGTAATCGCAAAAATCTTTTTTTTAAATTAATTAATTTTTTTTTTGAAAGTGAAGTCCATTCCTAATAATTATAATTAAAACAACGTCCTTATTGCAATTATTATTGATTATTACAGCTTTGGTGTGCATTGTGCTTTAGAAAATATTACTTAGTTAGTTCTTTTTCCTAAAAACAACATCGTTAACAAGATAACGGTATTATTATTCTGATGATGTGGTGAGAAGTAATTGCATTGATTTTGTTCAGTTTTATTCGCAAATCCTTTTGGTTTGCATCTCATACACTGATAGATTGTAGCGTA